GGTGTTCGTATTGTCCTCACCTGTGGGTGTTCGTATTGTACTCACCTGTGGGTGTTCGTATTGTACTCACCTGTGGGTGTTCGTATTGTACTCACCTGTGGGTGTTCGTATTGTACTCACCTGTGGGTGTTCGTATTGTACTCACCTGTGGGTGTTCGTACTGATGTTGATGTGCAGCTGCCGGTGTTCGAGTACATGTAAGGATCGTAGTGAACACATATGGATGTTCAGAAGTATGTGTGTGTGTATGTGTTTACTCTTTATGCCTGCAAGATCGGGCTGTTAGCTCTTGGACCCCGCCTTTCTAACCGTCGGTTGTCTAATGTACTGACTCCCGACTTCTTTTCCTCTGTCATATCTACTACATATATTTCTAACACATGAATATGTCCAGGAAGCCGCAACAGCTGTCTAACTCTAATAGCTAGGTGAATAGGTGCATTAGGTGAAAGAAAGTTGCTTCTTGGTTTCTACCTCGGCCGAGAATAGAACCCGGTCCCTGTGGATTACGACTCCCGAGTGCGGTTCGCTCGGCCGCGAGGACCTGTAGTATGTGTGTGTTTACAAATAATTTGTTTCAGTTTCTGATCGTTATTCTATCCGTCTTCTCCCATCTAGCATGTCATTACCCCCATCCCATCATCCTCCTCTCCCTCTCATCAAGAGGTCACGCCCAACCAAACTTTAATTTATGCTACTCTATACTTTAATCATGGTCCCTCCCTGCCACCTCTCCCATAACGTTTACTCTCCCGGCGCAGCGTCGAGGTCCTGTGACACGTAAGGCACCAGGACACTGAGCTCTTTTTGGCCTCCTCCCCCGGTAAATAGGCTGCGGGAAAACATATCGTACGGCCCGACAATGGCTGCTCCACCCGGCCAAGGCTCTACAAGAATCCCACTTTTCTATCACCTAAAACATCCTTTTCTTCTTCGTTAAAAAGGTGAAAGTTTCCAGAGTGTCTAGTGAATATCCAGAGGCGTGCCCCCCCCTTTTTGGGGGGAGTTAATAGCGTGTATAATGATACTTAATGTGGTATTTTGTTTTTCCTGACGGCCGGAAGAAAGCCTAGTCAACAGAACAAAAGAAAGAAGAGACACAAGGTGAACACGTTAAAAATGGAATAGAAGAAGAGTATGAAGGAGTTGATATATTTCCTTAAGCTCGGTGATGTGTTTATATGATCTATCAAACGCTGGGGAGAGGTTGTGTGGGGAAGGGATTTATTAGCACTGCCACGAGAGTTCAATTGATCATCCATCAAGTCCATTTCTAAATTTCTAAACTAAATTTCCATCAATTTTCTAAACTCAATTTTCAGTGAATTCAGGGTTGGTATATTTCTCTTTGTATACCAGAGAAGTATTATTATTATTACTAATTATTATTATTATTATTATTATTATTATTATTATTATTATTATTATTATTATTATTATTATTATTATTATTATTGTTATTATACTAATGTTAGTTTACGTTGTTAATTTGTTATGCACCCCATACCCATCCAGTGGGGGGTGGTGGACCCCACACCCCTCTCCAACATCCTATAAAAACTCCTATATAACTTATACAAAGGTATATCCCCCAATATCTACATCCCAACTATCTCCAAGAGAGAGAGAGAGAGAGAGAGAGAGAGAGAGAGAGAGAGAGAGAGAGAGAGAGAGAGAGAGAGAGAGAGAGAGAGAGGAATTACGGGATAGGAAGAGAAGTTGTTGTTTAACATAAGCTCGCCCCCTCCCCATGGGGAAGCAACAGGGTGGGAGGGGAGGGCATGGCTGACTACTCCGACCAAGAGCTGCCCAAGTGGGGACGAACACTCAACTGCTGTATTGTTCGTGTCTGCTGGGTCGATACTCACGCAGGCAGACAGGCAGCCAGGGGACACAAACAGGCAGCCAGGGGACACAAACAGGCAACCAGGGGACACAAACAGGCAACCAGGGGACACAGACAGGCAGCCAGGGGACACAAACAGGCAGCCAGGGGACACAGACAGGCAACCAGGGGACACAAACAGGCAACCAGGGGACACAGACAGGTAGCCAGGGGACACAGACAGGCAACCAGGGGACACAAACAGGCAACCAGGGGACACAAACAGGCAACCAGGGGACACAAACAGGCAACCAGGGGACACAAACAGGCAACCAGGGGACACAAACAGGCAGCCAGGGGACACAAACAGGCAACCAGGGGACACAAACAGGCAGCCAGGGGACACAGACAGGCAACCAGGGGACACAAACAGGCAGCCAGGGGACACAAACAGGCAACCAGGGGACACAAACAGGCAACCAGGGGACACAAACAGGCAGCCAGGGGACAAAAATCAGGGGGAGGCAGCCAGGGGACACAGACAGGCAGCCAGGGGACACAGACAGGCAGCCAGGGGACACAAACAGGCAACCAGGGGACACAAACAGGCAGCCAGGGGACACAAACAGGCAACCAGGGGACACAAACAGGCAGCCAGGGGACACAAACAGGCAACCAGGGGACACAAACAGGCAACCAGGGGACACAAACAGGCAGCCAGGGGACACAAACAGGCAACCAGGGGACACAAACAGGCAGCCAGGGGACACAAACAGGCAGCCAAGGGACACAAACAGGCAGCCAGGGGACACCAACAGGCAGCCAGGGGACACAGACAGGCAACCAGGGGACACAGACAGGCAGACAGGGGACACCAACAGGCAGCCAGGCAGCCAGGAGACCCAGACAGGCAGACAGGGAGCAGACTGGAGTCCAGTATTCCTTTTCACAATGATAACGACATTTAAGTGAAATTTGGCGGGAACTCTGGTCGTCTGGAGAGACGGAAGGAGAAATAACTTACATTCTGGAGGGTATTCATTCGGTGTTGCCAGGGAAACCATAATCTTATACACATAATGGTCTCGTATCGTGAGAGCTCTCGAAGGAAATGTATTCTAGATTAGCTTCCCCTCTGTATCATTTCGTTTTCTGTATGTTTCTTTACATAGGACGCTGGACGCGCTGTGGGTGATCTAGGACATTCTAGGCCATATTTTTCCTGTATTTACCTACAAGTCACTGTCACGAGTTTCACTTCTGTTAATGTTGGACAAAAGCATTCACAATTAAAATATTATTTGAGTGATAGTAGAATGTTTCTTTCTGCATCAGTATTAGAACACACACACACACACACACACACACACACACGCACGCACGCACACACACACACACACACACACACACACACACACACACACACACACACACACACACACACACACACACACACACACACACACACACACACACACACACACACACACACACACACACACACACACACATACATACACACACACACACAGACTGGATGGGCAGACTGCATATTTCTGGAGTGTCAGAAAGCCTTTAACACAGTATTCCATAGGAGCCTATTGCTTGAGCTGGAGATGCAGGCAGGAGTGAAAGGGAAAGTACTCCATTGGATAAGGGAGTACCTAAGCAACAGAAGACAGCGAGTCACTGTGAGGGGTGAGGTCTCAGAGTGGCGAGGCATCACCAATGGAGTCCCACAGTGTTCAGTCCTTGGACCTATCCTGTTTCTGATATATGTAAATGATCTTCCAGAGGGAATAGATTCGTTCCTCTCAATGTTTGCTGATGCTGCACAAATTATAAGGAAGATTAAGACAGAGGATGATATCAAGAGGCTACAAGATGACCTAGACAAACTGAAGGAATAGTCCAACAAATGGCTACTAAAGTTCAACCCGAGTAAATGTCAGATAATGAAACTAGTTGGAGGGAACAGGTGGCCAGACACTGGATACCGACTGAGTCGTCTCCCATTCGGTGTCTTGTATCTGAGACACAGGACACCTTGAGACAAGCCCAAGCTGTTATGGCTTGTCTCAAGGTGTTGGGTGTTAGATTGTGTACACAATTTGCTTCCTAGTAGTGCTGTCTACACTACTGCTCTACACTACACTCTACTACTTTGGTATACCCTTTACGTGGCATACCGAATTGTCACTTCTCTAAATGGTACTCCCCTTACAAGGTACTCCCCTTATATGGTACTCCCCCTTACATGCTTCTTGTTCTATATGTAATAATTTAAAGATACTTCTCTTAAATGGTATTGCCGGTACATGTCCTATTTCTATATGCAATCCCTAGATATTATTTCTCCTAGGTATATGGTACCTCAAGATTGTACATCGTGGATTGTACTTTCTACAGGTGTAGGATGGTACACACAAAACTGTACTCACCATAAATGGTACAACCAAATGGTGCTGTATACCAGTGGTTCCCAAACATTTATGGTACTAAGCTTGTGTATATTCTAGGGAGTGAGTTTACCAGTCTACATATACTTTACAGTCATCATCTGAAACCATTTCTTTTGTTTTCATTTATCCCTCCCTGTCTATCATCTCCCCTTCCCTCCCTGTGTCCTTTGTCCTTTCTATCCAATTTTACATTTCCTTTGCTCTTCTTTTTGCCCTACTGTGTCTCCTGCCTTGCCCTTCTCCTTGCCCCACTGTGTCTCCTGCCTGCCCTTCTCCTTGCCCCACTGTGTCTCCTGCCTTGCCCTTCTCCTTGCCCCACTGTGTCTCCTGCCTGCCCTTCCCCTTGCCCCACTGTGTCTCCTGCCTGCCCTTCTCCTTGCCCCACTGTGTCTCCTGCCTGCCCTTCTTCTTGCCCCACTGTGTCTCCTGCCTGCCCTTCCCCTTGCCCCACTGTGTCTCCTGCCTGCCCTTCTCCTTGCCCCACTGTGTCTCCTGCCTGCCCTTCTCCTTGCCCCACTGTGTCTCCTGCCTGCCCTACTCCTTGCCCCACTGTGTCTCCTGCCTGCCCTTCCCCTTGCCCCACTGTGTCTCCTGCCTGCCCTTCCCCTTGCCCCACTGTGCCTCCTGCCTGCCCTTCTCCTTGCCCCACTGTGTCTCCTGCCTGCCCTTCCCCTTGCCCCACTGTGTCTCCTGCCTGCCCTTCCCCTCCCTAGGCATCGGGTACGCCATCTGCATCATCGACCTGTACATGGCTATGTACTACAACACCATCCTGGCGTGGAGCGTGTACTACCTGGTGGCCTCCTTCGGGAGCGAGCTGCCCTGGACCTCGTGTGACAACGACTGGAACACCCCAAACTGTACCCTCACTGCCAACGTCCACAACGCCACTGACAAGTCCTCCACCGTCTCCCCTGCCAAGGAGTTCTTCAGGTGGGTGTTGCTCGGGAAGAGAGTGTTCTGGTGGGAAGTGGGTGCTTCCTAGGTGGGTGCTTCCTAGGTGGGTGCTTCCTAGGTGGGTGCTTCCCAGGTGGGTGCTTCCTAGGTGGGTGCTTCCTAGGTGGGTGCTTCCTAGGTGGGTGCTTCCTATGTGAGTGCTTCCAAGATGGGTGCTTCCTAGGTGGGTGCTTCCTAGGTGGGTGCTTCCTAGGTGGGTGCTTCCAAGGTGGGTGGTGCTAGTGGGTGGTATTGCTAGATGGAGGGCTGTTATAAGGGAAAACGGAGGGTGTTCACAATGTTGATCAACCTACCTGATTCATAGTGTAAATGTGGATCAGGTAGGTTGTGGTGGGGGAAGCTATGAGGCTAAATTTATGTAAACCATGTAGCCTCGTGCACGAATTACTTTAAACATTAGAAGATCGTTTAGAACACCACTGGTCTCCGCTAGAAGAGAACATGGACATGCTCGAAGCCATCCAATTCGAGTGATTTTCAAGATACTGCATTATTTACATAACAAGTTGAGAGTGGGAAATCTTGCCTCTCCAACCCAAACCAGTAATTTATCTGCAGTCACAAATTCTCCCAAACTCTTGTTTTATATAATATTTTAGTGTATTTAAATATATCTGAACTTATACTAAGTCTATTGATATTATGATGAGATGAATAAGAAATAAAATAAAATTAATGCACTACAAGCTATTTATCATCTACTTTGATCATTTAATTATCTATCGTGGTTACATAATCTATTGAAATTTAAAATAATTGTGTTATGTTTTCAGAGGTATTAAAATCAGATACATTAATTAAGCCCATTTTAATATGATTTCAAATCATATAATATATAACATATATATATTTTAAAAAATGCGGATTACTTGTCAACACGACCAGCTGATCACTGTTTACATGCATGACGTGGCAGCGCGGGAAATACGAACGCTTGAAAAAGAGAATCGAAAAGAAACGATCAACTGCGTCAAGAGGCAATTTTGTGGCCCACAACAGAGTATAATCCTCTTCAGGTCAGCTGGGGTCACTGGCTAATTGGATCGTGTGCAGTTGTGGGTTTCAATATGCGGACGGGAACATAATTGTAGGTTCACGGAAACCCGTCTGTCGTTTGATCACAATGGCGGCCATTTTTGTTAGTCTCGGGTTCTCCCTAAGCTTTTGGGCGGATTAATGTTGAATTACTTAATATTGTAACTGATGGTACTGTTTATTATAATAAATTCATTATTATAATTATTATTATACTTAACCGAGTCGTATTACTGGAAAAATCTGAATTATGAATGCTAGGATCCCTTTATTGCGTACCAGAGAGGGGGGGTACCGGCGTTGCTTGTGTGAGGGACGTCACTATCTTCATCACTATACTCATCATACCTACACACAGTATCTTCATCTCTATAACCAACTTAAAACTATACACCGTCACACCATCCCTGTCTCACACAACCCGTCCAGGACAGAGGGGGAGGTATGTCATGAAGCTACCATGTTGATGGGGCCAACAATTTCTAACGTACTGAATTTTCAAAATTGTTATTTTGTTAAATAATATGATAATGTTATTACATACTAGAATGTGTTGAATAGTTAGACCTAACTTAGGTTAGGTGAGGTGGTTAGAGGTTCTGTTGGCCAGTTATTTGTATTAGCAGCATGTGGGTGAAGCGTTTAGAGAGATGAGGTTCGAACAGAGGACGTGAGTGAAGCACTACTCGAGACAAATGGAGCGTCATCAGTTGTGAGCCGTGTGTATGTCATTCATTCATTCATAGAGGGTCTGACGACGGATTAAAACACATTTAGCCATTGTTTATGAGAACGGGCTGTTTATTACACGTGACCAAAGCTGATGACGTTAGAACAGTTTTCTGCTCACTTCCTGCGTTCGAAGCGCAGCCTCTCTAAAGATTCGCAAACTTAAAAACATTTGGAGTTGTTTGTTGTACTAACCCTACAACTCTCCCTCCCCCACCCCTCCTCTCCCCCTACCACAGGAAGGAGGTGCTGGAGGTCGACAAGTCAACGGGACTCGGGGACCTCGGGCCGGTCAAGGGCTCCCTGGCTCTCTGCCTCTTCTCAGTCTTCGTCCTCGTCTACTTCTCCCTCTGGAAGGGAGTCAAGTCTAGTGGAAAGGTACGTGAAGAAGTGAAAGGTTTTAGGGCCACCGGGAGGGTGGAAGGGCCAGGGCTGAGACTGTCAGGGCTGCTGCTAGGAGGGGGGAAGATCCAGGGCTGAGAGTTAAAGTTTTGGGAAAAAGATGCGAAGAGATGCGTCATGACAATAGTTTCACTTGTTGCTCTGCTCTCGAGGGCTCCCCCCTCCCACCCCACATACACCCCCTCCCTCCCCACATACACCCCCTCCCTCCCCACATATACCCCTTCCCTCCCCACATACACCCCCCTCCCTCCCCACATATACCCCTTCCCTCCCCACATACACCCCCTCCCTCCCCACATACACCCCTTCCCTCCATCCTTCCCCATCTATACCACTTCCTACTCCACCTTCTCCCTCTTCTACCCCTAGACACATTTTACCAGAATTTACCTGAGGGCCACTAACATTCTAGTAGCCTTAATGAGATCAGGAAGCCGGCGACTAGAACTGGCGGTGGTAACTGGTGACATATCTGGTGACGCCGTGTCCACTGCAGGCAGTGTGGGTGACGGCGCTGATGCCGTACGTGGTGCTGCTGATCCTGCTGGTGCGAGGCGTCACCCTGCCGGGGGCCACCAGCGGCATCCTCTACTACCTCACTCCGCGCTTCCAAATGCTCGATAAACCCAAGGTCAGCCAAATGTATTGTTGCCTGTGGCGGGGAAAGGGGGCGGGAAGGGCTATGACATTGTTGGGTCTCTTCCACCCATACATTTCTGTTCCACACGCCCTCCCTATTTTCCCACTCTTTCCTTCTCTTGGAAAAGTACTTGGGTTGGTACTCTACCCCTCCCACAATTCCGATAGTTTCATGTTAATCATATTGCAGTAACATTTCCCTATTATAATTTTCACTTTAATTCTTGCCTTGATGCAGTTTTGATTTTCGTTCCAGTTCACTTAAACTTTTTGTTATAATATAAGTTGATTCATTATTAATTAATTACTTAGTGTCATATGCAATGATATTTCAGGCGAATTTTAAGGGTATTAAATACGTTATATATATAGTTTAAGGATATAGTTTGGCAGTTTAGGCTTCAAGAGCCTAATAGATTCAACTACTATCTTTTTGTTTGATAGTTATGCACAATTTCCACCTTAGTCTTTGACATAAAGCTACATATCCCTAGCCTGGTCATTAAGAAATAATCGCAATTATCAACTCAATATTTAAGAGTTTTTTTCAATTCCCAGCTTAGCCTCTGAGAGACAACCACAATTCACAGCTTAATCTTTGAGAGATAGCTGTGATGTCCAGCTTAGTTTAGAGAAATCTTTGTAATTTGCAGCTTAGTACTTGAGACTGTGATCACATTTTCCCAGCTTAGTTTTTGAAAATGAGCTGTAATTTGCAGCTTGGAGCATGGATTATATCCACATATTCCCAGCTTGGTTTTTGAGAATGAGCTGTAATTTGCAGCTTGGAGCATGGGTTATAACCACATATTCCCAGCTTGGTTATGGAGAGAAAGCTGTAATTGGCAGCTTAGTGTTTGAGGTATAAGGCGCTCGTGTCACCTGCCCCTACTAACAGTACCCACATCCTCAGGTCTGGGTCGACGCCGCCACCCAGATCTTCTTCAGTCTGGGACCTGGTTTTGGCACCCTGCTGGCCCTCTCCTCCTACAACAAGTTCCACAATAACTGCTACAGGTAGGTGCTACGACGCCTGCTACAGGTAGGTGCTACGACGCCTGATACAGGTAGGTGCTATGACGCCTGCTACAGGTAGGTGCTACGATGCCTGCTACAGGTAGGTGCTACGATGCCTGCTACAGGTAGGTGCTATGACGCCTGCTACAGGTAGGTGCTATGACGCCTGCTACAGGTAGGTGCTATGACGCCTGCTACAGGTAGGTGCTATGACGCCTGCTACAGGTAGGTGCTATGACGCCTGCTACAGGTAGGTGCTATGACGCCTACTACAGGTAGGTGCTATGACGCCTGCTACAGGTAGGTGCTACGACGCCTACTACAGGTAGGTGCTATGACGCCTGCTACAGGTAGGTGCTACGACGCCTGCTACAGGTAGGTGCTATGACGCCTGCTACAGGTAGGTGCTACGACGCCTGCTACAGGTAGGTGCTATGACGCCTGCTACAGGTAGGTGCTATGACGCCTACTACAGGTAGGTGCTATGACGCCTGCTACAGGTAGGTGCTATGATGCCTGCTACAGGTAGGTGCTACGACGCCTGCTACAGGTAGGTGCTATGACGCCTGCTACAGGTAGGTGCTACGACGCCTGCTACAGGTAGGTGCTACGACGCTTGCTACAGGTAGGTGCTACGACGCCTGCTACAGGTAGGTGCTATGACGCCTGCTACAGGTAGGTGCTATGACGCCTGCTACAGGTAGGTGCTATGACGCCTGCTACAGGTAGGTGCTATGACGCCTACTACAGGCAGGAGGCATAACACCGACTATAGCCATTGGTTACAACGCACATTAGAAGATGGAGCTACAACCTCTGCTATAGATAGGTGCGATGACAACTGCTACAGGTAAGGACCACAGTAACTACTACTGGTAAAGACCATAGTAGCCACTACAAGTGAAAGCTACAAGTATAGATCACAACTGCAATACTTAAATTTTGCAGCAGGTATTCCTTATAGAGACTTCAATAACTACAATTATACTTTACAACTACAGACTACAAATATGGACCAGAATCTGGCCTTGAAGTTACGGATGGAGGTGGCTTCCACAACTTCTTAGTTCAGAGCAGTCTATATGTTGACCCCCGTACAGGGTAATACTCTCCCCTACATACCCTTGCTGGGTCTACCACGTAGGCAGGACCTACTTTGGGTGGGTCCCACGTAGGTAGGACCTACCTTGGGTGGGTCCCACGTAGGTAGGACCTACCTTGGGTGGGTCCCACGTAGGTAGGACCTACCTTGGGTGGGTCCCACGTAGGTAGGACCTACCTTGGGTGGGTCCCACGTAGGTAGGACCTACCTTGGGTGGGTCCCACGTAGGCAGGACCTACCTTGGGTGGGTCCCACGTAGGTAGGACCTACCTTGGGTGGGTCCCACGTAGGTAGGACCTACCTTGGGTGGGTCCCACGTAGGTTATATATAGTGATGTAAACATCAAAGAACCTGACCATTGGATGAGCTCATTGGAAACTGGTTAAGTAGACATCTCGTCAGGGAGTGTCTGGCAGCCTTGTTAGCGACGACTCATTATTCTGGCCCTCGTTAGTGGCACTCTGATGTTCTCCTACCCCCCACCCCACCCTCTCTCTCTCTCTCTCTCTCTCTCTCTCTCTCTCTCTCTCTCTCTCTCTCTCTCTCTCTCTCTCTCTCTCTCTCTCTCTCTCTCTCTCTCTCTCTCTCTCTCTCTCTCTCTCTCTCTCTCTCTCTCTCTCTCTCTCTCTCTCTCTCTCTCTCTCTCTCTCTCTCTCTCTCTCTCTCTCTCTCTCTCTCTCTCTCTCCCACCCATCTTTCATTCCATCCTCTGCCTTCCTCTGCTCTTCTTGTCCATACCTTCCCCATCTCCTGCCTCCCCCCATCCTTTTCTCCTATACTTTACCTTCATCCCAACTTCTCTGCATCTACTTCCCTTCCTCCGTCTCCGCAACGCTACGACCCGCCATCACTGGGACCCGAGTCCGTCTTCTCAGGGGCCCCGCAAACGCTTCCCAGGGCCTGGATTCCTATTATTCAGGGGCCCTAAGTACCTTCATGGAGCTATCATGCACCTTCCTGGGGACCCTCATCCTCCCTCATGGCCCACACACCCCGGGTGGCTAAAGCCCACTTCCATCTCTCGAGGGCCCCGGCTCACGTCCCAAGGGCCCGGCCTCACACCCAAGGGGCTCCCTGGAGGAGCCACGTCTGTCGTAAATCACAGTGGAGGGCGCCATCTGATCACGGGACGAAATATATGAGATAAATATTAATTAGCAGCCAAGCGTGAGCTGGTTGCTGGACAGCTGTAATGGATGACTTGTCTGTGGGGGGGCTCCACCGTGGTTGGTGTTGGGTGTGTGTGGGGCTCCACCATGGTTGGTGCTGGGTGTGTGTGGGGCTCCACCATGGTTGGTGCTGGGTGTGTGTGGGGCTCCACCGTGGTTGGTACTGTGTGTGTGTGTGGCTCCACCATGGTTGGTGCTGGGTGTGTGTGTGGCTCCACCATATAGTTAGTACTGGGTCAGCACCACAGGCTGACCACATGGACACAACCTCCTCACTTCACTGTGGTTAGAAAGTACAAAGCATCCAGTAATATCACAGGAAAAAACCTTGTATTGATAACACCAAACCCGTCACCTGAGGAACACATCAGTGATAACACCAAACCCGTCACCTGAGGAACACATCAGTGATAACACCAAACCCGTCACCTGAGGAACACATCAGCAGAATAACGTATGCTGAATATGCGGAATTGGCCAATTATGCGAGTAGCCTTTAAGTACCTAGATAAAGAGTCCTTCAATATACTGCATACAACGTATGTAAGACTGATATCTGAATATGCAGCCCCTGTCTGGAGTCCCTAACTAATAAAACACACAATAAAAGTAGAGAAGGTTCAATAGAATAAGTAAAGACTTGTCCCAGAACTGAGAAAGCTCAGTTCTGGCTTCAAGAGGCTGAAAGAATCTAATTCATAACGTTGGGAGTGGGCTGGGAACAGAGGAGGCATGATAACGACGTATAAAATACTGAGTGGAGTGATAGAATTGACAAAAAGTTGCTCAAAATGAGGCACGGAGGGGCCAGAGGACACGGGTGGAAGCTGGAGACACAGATGAGGCAGGACCAGAGGACACGGGTGGAAGCTGGAGACACAGATGAGGCAGGACCAGAGGACACGGGTGGAGCTGGAGACACAGATGAGGCAGGACCAGAGGACACGGGTGGAAGCTGGAGACACAGATGAGGCAGGACCAGAGGACACGGGTGGAAGCTGGAGACACAGATGAGGCAGGACCAGAGGACACGGGTGGAAGCTGGAGACACAGATGAGGCAGGACCAAAGGACACGGGTGGAAGCTGGAGACACAGATGAGGCAGGACCAAAGGACACGGGTGGAAGCTGGAGACACAGATGAGGCAGGACCAGAGGACACGGATGGAAGCTGGAGACACAGATGAGAAGGGATGTCAGGAAACTCTTCTTTACTGAGAGCATTGCCAGCGTGTTGGATGGCCTTCCAGAAGAAGTGACCTCAATAACTAACTCCAAAAGGAAGTATGACGAGAGACAAGAAATATAAGCCATTGCATTAATTAACCAGGGGTTGTAAAGACAGGGCTTGGGAGCTAATGCCCGACCCTGCAATCTCATTAGGTGAATGCATCTAGATGATCAAACTAAAACACACACACACACAAACTGAACTTTTTCAGTGTCAGCGGAGTTAACAGATGGAATGCATTAGGCAGTGAAGTGGTGGAGGCTGACTCCATACACAGTTTCAAATGTAGATATGATAGAGCCCAGTAGGCTCAGGAACCTGTACACCAGTTGATTGACAGGACCAAAGAGCCAGAGCTCAACTAGGTGAGTACACACACACACACACACACACACACACACACACACACACACACACACACACACACACACACACACACACACACACACACACACACACACACAGGTGTGGACTCCCAGGCAGTATCGGCTTCCGGTCTTCATGGTGGTCTTACTTTTAGAGAACACAGAAGCTGTTTTTGGTCTCTCTTGGCCTTAGTGCTCCCGAGAGAGAGAGAGAGAGAGAGAGAGAGAGAGAGAGAGAGAGAGAGAGAGAGAGAGAGAGAGAGACAGAGACAGAGAGAGAGAGAGAGTGTGTGTGTGTGTGTGTGTGTGTGTGTGTTCATTTTATCGTGCTTTGGCTGGGGGAGGGGGGGGGTTATGGATTCAGTTCCTGGGCCCCTCTTCTCAATCAACCTCAATCCTCACTCAACTGGTGGACCTCTTCCTGGGCCCATTTGAGTGTGTCTCATGTCACCGAGCACTCCATCTCCTGAACTACTTTACCTGTCTTAATTGTTACTTGACTCACTTGGGTACTCAACTTCCACCTGTAACCCCCCTCCCCCCCCCATCGATTGATTGATTGATGAAGATTAAGCCACCTAAGACGTGGCACGGGCATGAATAACCCGTAAAAGTAACCCCCCCCCCCGCCCAACATTCGTGTCTCACTTAAATATCCAAACAGCAAAACAAACAAACAGCAACAAACACAATATGACAAACAACAACAAACACACAAACACAGCAAACTTAATACTTGGATGACAAGGTATCGTGAGAGGGGGGAGGAGGGGGGCCCTTGAGTTGTTAAGAAGTGTGTGATTGGTCGAGCGACCAATCATCGTCCGGCGTGGCCTTGTTAGGGCCGCAGTCGGCGCTTGTTTGCAGTCTGATTGGTCGTTGGGTAAGCAGCGCTATTTGAGAGGGATGACGGGTCGTTCCAGGAAAGAAAACTACCTCGTTAGGTTGTATGTGTGAGAGAGAGAGAGAGAGAGAGAGAGAGAGAGACAGAGACAGAGACAGAAAAATGGAAGGATGAATCCTACAGGTCTTCCCTCAGCCATCTCTCTCTCTGTCTCTCTCTGTCTCTCTCTCTCTCTCTCTCTCTCTCTCTCTCTCTCTCTCTCTCTCTCTCTCTCTCTCTCTCTCTCTCTCTCTCTCTCCCTCTCCCTCCCAATGAGACCAATAACTCACGCACTGGGAGCTGGGGCCTCGCTTCAACACCCATCTCACCAAGTCAAAAGTTTTTTCTCTCATTCTTTCTGAATGTTTTTTTTTGTGTATCTTGTATATCTCTGGCAAGTGTCTTGATTTACTCTGCCTCTTAATTTATTCGATCTCCATGGCTCTCCGGTGTTTTTTATTGTCTGTGTGTTTGTTTCTTGGTTAATTTATTCAATTTTATTCTTTACTTTTATTTTTTGTGATTTCAATTTTATTTTGTTTTCCTTCTATCTTTGATTGCAATTTATTCGTTTTGTGATTTTTTTTTAATTTATTGATTTATTCATTTTTATTGTATTTATACTGTTTTCTGGACTCGTTAAATCTTAATTTATTCCGCATTGCTTTAGTTATCTCTCCTCCACCGTGTATGTTGTTCTTGAAGATGTCTCAATTTATTCTGCTTTATCAGAATCTTCTTTATTAAGATTCGTATCTTCGTTGAAGCAAACTCTATATTCCCTCAGTAATTAGGAATTACTGAGGAATTACTGAATTTACATCACAAACACCTCAGTAATTAGGTGTTTATATTCATTGTTCTGTATCAACAAGAACTGGAAGCAAGAATAGAGATTAGTCGGATAGATAGGTGAGTCACGGCAGGGATGGGGGTGGGGAATAGATAGATAGGTGGGACTCCTATAGATTATATAGATAGATGGTGGGGATAGAAAACCAGAAGGGAAAAAGAAACAGGGAAAAAGGAGGAATCCCCACCTCATTTTTAAACTTTGACGCAAATATCACAGTATCAAGGTTATCGCGAATAACCGAGAACTCAATTACGGGCTCACCGTAGCCCGTGCTACATGGACACTTCGTTCTGAGTGGCTAAATCTACAACAACAACAAACAACGGTGGGATAGATAGACAGCCATTGAGGGAGAGGTGTGTGGATAGATTGGTTGGAAACAAATGGTGGGGTTAGAGATAGGGTGTGTGGAATGGGATGTGTGGGATGGGTGTGTGTGTTGGGGGTTGGATAGAAGGGTTTTGGGAGGAGGGATAGGAGAGTGTAGGGATGGGATAGGAGAGTGGTGCCCTTCCGTCTCACCCGCTAACAGTAGCAACGCCAAAGAAAATATTCAGTGATATTCAAACAACTGTTTTAGTTGCTAAAGAGGACACTACGGGCTCACCATAGCCCGTGCTACTTGGAACTTTTTGTTCCAGGAAGCGAATCTTAAACAGTGATATTCAATGATATAGAATCTTAAACAATGAGATGATATTCCCTTTGGATACCATTACATGTTGGCATATCAAAAGATACTGTTGACATGCTTACAAAGACAGCCTGTGACAGACCAATGGTGGGAATTAATATAGGTGTTTCATTATTTGTGACAAAGAGAAAACTATAATAATAATAATAATAATAATAATAATGTTTATTTAGGTAAGGTACATACATACAAGAGATTTTACAAAGATTGATGGAATTATAGATAGAGCTAGTACATACAATGCCTAAAGCCACTATTACGCAAAGCGTTTCGGGCATGTTTCGTTTCGATTCGGGCAAAACTGAAACGAATGTTCGTGGAAAATCTTACAGGTTGTTGATGAGGACTTTGCTGGTATTGATGAGGTTTTTTACCTGCTGATGTAGGTCTTAGTTACACAGGTAAATCTGGGTAAATGTATCAGTTGGTACTGTGTACCGGTACAGAGGTGAGTCAGCCCCCCCCCCCCGGTACACAAGTGAGTAAGTTACAAATTGTTCATCAATACGCACGTGAGTCAGTCGGCACACAGGTGAATTAGTCGTCAGTTATTCATCTGTACTCGGGTGAGTTTGAAGTTATTTAAGGCCTCGTTTGCTTATTCACGACGAATCTCGCGGTCCAACGTACTCACTTTCATCACTTACTGGAATATATTACCGGTCTTGTTGTATATATATATATATATATATATATATATATATATATATATATATATATATATATATATATATATATATATATATATATATATATACTGTGTTGAATATTGCCCTACCTTGCTACTTCCTGCCTCACTACATCCTACTCCTTGCGTCACTGTACTTCCCCATACCATGTCTCACTATACTTCCCCATACCTATATACCTAGTCATTCACTGACCCCTAACGACATAGCCCCGCTCCTGTGCCGGGTAAGTCCACTACGGGCTCACCATAGCCTCTGATACTTGCCCCGTTCCTGTGCCAGGTAAGTTACGGGCTCACCATAGCCCGTGCTACTTGGAACTTGTTCCGAGTAGCTGAATCTATAACAACATGACCTCTAACCCCGTTGCCTGACCCCAGGGACGCGCTGCTGACCTCCTCCATCAACTGTCTGACCAGCTTCTTAGCGGGGTTCGTGATCTTCTCAGTCTTGGGCTACATGGCACACGTCCAGAACAAGGACATCTCTGAGGTCGGCGAGGAAGGTCAGTCATCTAAGACATTTACAACAGTATCAAATTATCGAATGTATCAATATATATATAAGGTGCGTCTTGGATATCATCCCGGACGTAGGTTCGATCCCGCATCGCGGCCCTTGTGGATTTGTTTAATATAGTCAAATTTGGCTCGTTTAATGATAATAATGATGATATTATTAATAATAATTATAATAATGTTTTATTTTTAAATTGATGTTGCATATGATCATTGGTAGAACATGGTTTAGACTTGTCTTAAATGTTATGGTGTAAATTATACATGATGTACCCTGATTCCCGGTACACCAGGCCCTAACACCCCACTACACCACACCCTAACACCCTAACACCACGTCCTAACACCCACTACACCCCACCCTAACACCACGTCCTAACACCCACTACACCCCACCCTAACACCACGTCCTAACACCCACTACACCCTACCCTAACACCCTAACACCACGTCCTAACACCCACTACACCCCACCCTAACACCCTAACACCACGCCCTAACACCCACTACACCCAGCGTGCTACACAAGCTCCCGTCACTCCCGCCAGGTCCCGGGCTGGTGTTCACGGTGTATCCTGAAGCCATAGCCACAATGACCGGTTCAGTCTTCTGGTCCATCATCTTCTTCCTTATGCTCATTACGCTCGGTAAGTGGCCTGTTTATTTACTTTCCTCTGTGCACACTGAGTGGCGTATTTACACGTGACGTCACTGGGCCACGTGGTCTGTGTTTACATGCAGGTCTCACAGGCTGTACTCACCTAGTTGTACTTGCTGGGGTTGAGCTCTCTGGTTTCTTGCATTTATATATTATTCGATTCGTGAGTTTGATATTTCTTTGTTCCACTCTTATCATGCGACAATCAGTAATGGTTATTGTCAATATTACTGTAAATTATGTTTTGCCATATCAAATATATCCTATTTATTGCAATACGAACTGCTAGCATAAATATATATATACAAACAACTCACTAGGTGTAGCGGAGCACGGACCACAAGCCTCTATGGTAGTTATCAAGCACTGTGGGAGTTTCTCTACCCATCTCAGAGGTGTTCAGTTTACTGTTCATTATGTCTGGTATACTGGTATCCGGTGACGGAGACAGGAAACATAGTAGGGTTATCAAGGCCCCTGCTTGTCTCTCCTCCCCTCTTCTTTCCTGTCTGTCTATCTCTCTCTCTCTCTCTCTGTCTCTCTCTCTCTCTCTCTCTCTCTCTCTCTCTCTCTCTCTCTCTCTCTCTCTCTCTCTCTCTCTCTCTCTCTCTCTCTCTCTCTCTCTCTCAAACAACGCTTGTCTCACAATGAGGCGCACAATAGGTAACGGAAAGAGTGACAGTCGCGCGGGATCCCCAAAGGGATCCTCCTGCCACCTGCAGCAATCTGTCTCTGGCCCCCAAGCGCCCACATTCGCCATTGTCAAGGGTTCCTGACATCTTCCGCGACCTCCAGGAGGGTACAGGAACCTTCATATCACAGAATGTAGGTCACAGTGCTGGAGGGAATGTCTGAAGGCGTAAGAGCTTTGTAATGTCAATGTTATCTATTGTGCTGGTTGTGGGCATGACGTGCGACTGTTCAGGGACGCATAGGAGCAAGGGACGGATAGAAGCAATGGGCGTATAGGAGCAACGGACGGATATAGGTAAGGGACGTATAGGAGCAAGGGATGTATAAGAGTTAGGGATGTATGGGAGTAAGGGCCGTATAGGAACAAGCGACGTATACGAGCAATTTAGGGACGCATAGGAGGAATTTAGGGACATATAGGAGCAATTTAGGGACGTATAGGAGCAATTTAGGGACATATAGGAGCAATTAAGGGACGTATAGGAACAATTTAGGGACGTATAGGAGCAATTTAGGGACGTATAGGAGCAATTTAGGGACGTATAGGAACAATTTAGGGACGTATAGGAGCATTTAAGGGACGTATAGGAGCTAGGGACATAAGGAACAAGATACTAATACGACACAACACTTTTAAGCCAGCGACTCCAAACACACACACACACGCAGCAGCGTTTTCAGTTGTTAAGAAGAAATACACACTGGCCACTGTTTATACAAACTGCGTATACAAACTGCCTTGTGTATATAGTGTGTCGTGGCCTCCTGGGAACCATGTGGGCTTACAGGCTCTAAGAATAAAACAAGGTGATTTAAAGGAATTTATTGATTTCTTTTTCCGTTTCCATTATAAGCTTTAAACTATGTTGACCAGACCACACACTAGAAGGTGAAGGGACGGCGACGTTTCGGTCCGTCCTGGACCATTCTCAAGTCGATGCTTCAAACTATGTTTGAAGCATCGCTTCGAACTATGTTATTCTTGATAGTAGTAGCGTGAAACCTTTGTAGTGTATATTTGGTAATATAGTGTCAGTTTAATGGGATTGAACTCGTGTCTCTGGCCCTCCCCAGACTCATGCACCACCCACTAAACCATAATGAGTGCCACAGCGGCACATGGAATCAATGTTATTGTTATCTTGAAACTCATGTAGTACGTATATTATCTTTTCATATACTCTATTTGTCCTTTCCCATCTCTTCTTCCTGATGGCTCCTCCTCCTGATGTCTCCTCCTGACGTCTCCTGACGTCTCCTCCTCCTGACGTCTCCTCCTCAGGTCTGGACAGCACCTTCGGGGGCCTGGAGGCGATGATCACCGGCCTCTGTGATGAGTACCCTCGCCTCCTAGGTCGCCACAGGGAGATCTTCGTGCTGTGTCTCCTCATCTTCATCTACGTCTGCGCCCTGCCCACCACCACCTACGTAAGGGTCGTGCCTGGGGGCGTCGTCCCTGGCCGCCTGCCTCTCGGGGTGGTGCTCCTTGATGGTGTTGTAGGCTGGGGGGGAGAGAGGTAGTCATGTATTATTGTTTTATACCACACGTGGCCACAAATTTATAATACATTTATATATTTATCTCCATTAGATCACACACTAACCCCACAAGCCCCCTCACAGGGCGGCATGTACATCGTGGACCTGCTGAACATCTTCGGAACAGGGAACCCCATCTTGTTCATTGTGTTCGTGGAAGCGACGGCTGTCTGCTGGTTCTACGGCGCCGAGCGGTTCGCCGACGATATCGAGAAGATGCTGGGGTTCCGTCCCGGGCGGTTCTGGATCGTCTGCTGGAAGTTCATCTCCCCGACTTTCATCTTCGTGAGTAGGAAAGGCGTTGTGTTGATGTGAATTGGGTATTAATTACCGTTTGCTGTCAATAACAACCTCACCTAACTACCTAACAACCTCATCCTAACTACCTAACAACCTCGACCTAACTACCTTGTTAATACAAATCCAACAATAGTCACTACATACCACATCGTGTTAGAAACAAGCCAGCAACTGCCACTAACTTCCCTACAGGTATGGTAGTTAGTGGTATATGTTAAGTATTTTCTTTCTTACTCTCGGTATTAAGAATATATATAAATGCATATGTCATTAAATATGACTGCATATTCCGTGTTGTTTATTTTCTTATTTAAGGCTTCTATCCCTCTGACTAGTGCTCTTGTATCTTGGTTTAATTAGAAGAGGATTTCTCCAAATGTCATATTTGTTCGAGGTTGACTAAATGAATAAAAATTTACTGTATAACGTATTACACTTATTATAAATTTACACAACGTTTCGAACCTATAAGGATCATTCTCAAGTGAGGAGACAGGATGTTTGACTGATAAAGATTAAGCCACCTAAGAAGTGGCACGGGCACGAATAGCCCGTAACGGAGACAGGATTGTTTTACATTCAGCTACTGGGAACAAAAAGTTGCAAGTAGCACCGGCTATGGTGAGCCTGCCCGTCCTCGCATACAAAAATCCAAGCTCGTTAATCCAGCCGCCAAACCTCCTGTTTATGAATGAATGAATTTACACACGACTCACAAGTGTTCGAACGTCATCAGTTGTGAGTCGTGTGTAAACCGTTTTTCATTCATAAAAAGGGGGGTTTGGCGGGTGGATGGAATGGACTTTTGGCTTTGTTGATGAGGACGAGCTGACATAACCTGAGACGGGTTGCTTTAAATAAACCTAATACAACCCAAGCTAACCATAATTATACCGACCTAACCCTAACCTTTTCTATTCTTACTTAACTTAAAATACAAGAGATGAATTTTTGTGTTGAAAAAAACACAAAAGTGAATATATGAATATATGGAATATATAAATATGAATATATGGAAAATATAAATATGAATATATGGAATATATAAATATGAATATATAGAATATATAAATATGAATATATAGAATATATAAATATGAATATATAGAATATATAAATATGAATATATAGAATATATAAATATGAATATATGGAATATATAAATATGAATTTATGGAATATATAAATATGAATATATGAATATATAAAAAAAATTAATATATGGTGTTGACGAAGTGCGTCATATTACATCACAGTGTTGACGGCGGTACACGTTTCAGACACGAGTGAGAATATCCGTGCAAACAAAACAGAAAGTTGACGACCTTTGACCCCGCTACAGGTGCTGTTCGTGTGCTCGTTTGCGCTGGGTGACGGGGCGGCGTACCTCAACCTCCCGCCGTGGGCTGTGGTCTTGGCCTGGGTCCTCACCTGCTCCTCCATCGTCTGCATCCCTCTCTACATCATCTACATGTTCATCATCACCCCGGGCACCTTCAAGGAGGTAGGTGGACGCGTCTTCATGGCCGCGGAAGTACAACCTGTCCTCTTAAAAAGAACGTCGCTTTTGGCCGTTTGCCCGTATGGCCGAATTTGGACGTAATTTGAAAATGAAAATAAATTTGGGATTTTTTTTCAACAACAGTAAGTTAAGGGTCCTCTGATAGGTTAGGTGGGCAGGAAATTCTCATAAAGTTTCAAAACGTTATGAAAAACATGAATTTAAAGAGTCCTCTCATAACCTCTGCGCGTACGCCGGACGACTCAAACAGAAAACGGAACAGAACGTCACTTTTGTGAGTCGATTTCATTTCAAATTACGTCCAAATTTGGCCATAGCGCCGCCCATACCAGCCAAAAATGACGTTATTTTTAAGAGGACGGGTTGCCATACCCCGGGCACCTTCAAGGAGGTAGGTGGACGCATCTACATGGCTGCGGACTCATCTGGTGGGTCATATGATGTTCCGGGAGCCGTTAGTAGCGTGTCTTTGCACCCTGTTGTTTTTAAGATTCAGCTACTGGGAACAAAAAGTTCCAAGTAGCACGGGCTAGGGTGAGCCCGTAGTGGGCTGAAGTTTGGTCTCATGTTATGGGAAGTTTCGGAGAGTTGCTCTTAGTTCTTGTTCATAATGTTGTGATTTTTGTTTTGTACTTCTTCAAGTTCTCCTGTCACTTTGTGTCTCACTTTCGTCAATAATTCCTCAAGTTGTCCCTCTGGTATCCTTAATGTATTATTAATACTGGTGACTTTCTTCTGTTGGCAAAATAATTTTTGGTAAAAAGTTAATCTTCTTTTGCAGATCTTAATTTTTCTTTCCAAATGTTAGAAATTTTCCTCGTCACGGCCCTTGTGGATTTGTTCATTTGATGCATCACGTTATTGTGATCTCTGTGTGTGACCCGTTGTGTTTCTCTCTCCCCAACAGCGCATCAAAGCCATGATCAAGCCTGAGGAGTACAACCCACCACAGCTCAGCCAGATCAACTCCAATTACGGAACACATGTTTAAGTCCCCCCACCACCATCACCACCATCACCATGCACCATAAGACTCGTCTCAATCTCAACAATGGAACACACACCTGTTTCAGTCTCCCACCACCATAACCTTCCTCCCTATCCCCACTACTATCACAAATTTTGATGTCTCAATTCGATATGGTTAGGTATAAATAGGAGCGGTGCGTATGGGGGCAATTTTACGGGCTATTCATGCCCGTGCCACCTCTTATGTGGCTTAATCGTCATCAATCAATGGGGCAATAGGCATTCAACAATTTACGTTATCCTCATGTGGCCCTATCCGTGGTAGAGCACACTAACAGAGCCTATGTATAGGCTTTAACACATCCTGGAAGGCTAAATATTTAAGTTATGTGTACAACTGCGGTCCAGTGTTGACCAGCATAATACCATACACAAAATGATGAGCCATCAAAAGACGCTATACTCCTTGGAAGGTGAATTGAGTCAATTTCTAATAATCAACAAATAACTTAACCCAAACATGTGTGAAGAAACTGAAGACATTTCGATCCGTCCGTAATCAGGTCGGGGTCCTAAAACGGGACGAAACGTCACCTTCCCTTCTTGTCACGTGTGTGGGGTGGTGTCCAACCACACTATTGTGACCTAATAACTCTTCCAGTGATAAGTGTGCTTCTCTTCTACGGACCCCACCACCATCCCCTCTCTTCCCACCCAAACACTTTATGATCCTCTTGTTGAGACAAACGTGGTGTAATGTGATACCTCCCAGCCCCAGACTGTCATGTTATCCACCCAAAACGGTTATCTCCTCTCCTGTGGGATGTATCCTAGGGAATGTCAACCTTGGCACGCCTCTATAAGCCTAAAAAGGCTTCCTGTCCCAGACTATTTATTTATTTATATGCAGGCGATGAGTCACAATAACGTGGCTGAAGTATGTTGACCAGACACACACTAGAAAGTGAAGGGACAACGACGTTTCGGTCCGTCCTGGACCATTCTCAAATCGATTGTGTCGACTTGAGAATGGTCCAGGACGGACCGAAACGTCGTCGTCCCTTCACTTTCTAGTGTGTGGTCTGATCAACATATTTATTTATTTATTTATTTACAAGAGGGGGTATAATGGGTTGAGAAAGTATAGATTTTGGTGATTACATAATGCAGTGTTGTAACGCAACTCATGCTACACCAAACCATCTTGCTCTTCCCCTCTGCGTCACTCTTCCCTTTCAAAAGACTCCTCACACTTCTCCCCGCTCTTTCCACATTCATTTCTAATTGCCTTCCCTTCTCCGGTTTATTTAAACACCCCTAAACCACCCTCCCCCCGTCCCCCCAGCTCGCCATTACATCTCAACTCTCCTTCCCAAACTATCGTACAGCTTGAAGGAGGATAGAAATAGCCTAAGCTACTCTATCTCTTTGAGATGTATTTTCATTATCTCAATAAACGTACTTGAACAGCTTGTTCTGGTATAGTCGGCTCTTCCCTCTCTCTCTCTCCATGCCACAGTCACTGTCACTGTCGGGAATCTGTTGTACATATGTATTCCAAACACACACAAAACATCTACACTGCATCCATTACAGATACACATCACTGATACGATGTTGTTAATTGTCAGATTATATTTATGGGACTCTCCCACTCCCCCCCCATACTTCCCTTCCCCATCACACACCCATAGTGTTCCGCTGACAGCTTTCTAGTACAGTACTTTAGGCTGCCAATTGTCCGTCTCTGTTTCTTGGTCTATACGAAGAATTCAAACTGTGACCTCTGCAGAGACGCTTACAGTCTACAAACACTAGTTTTGCTGTTTATATGCTGATTGGCCTTAGTTTCGTTAATACGTAGATGAAACCAGTATGGCATGTGTTTATTGAACAATGTGAAATTTGTGAAGCTGAACATATTTGTATGTATGACGTTCAAAACCCCAATCCATTATAATGACTTAGTGTACAATTATGTTTGCTGTGTATATCTGTAAGTCAATGAGTGTAGCGAAGCCTTGAGGGGAAATATTACCTTCCGCCGCCTTGAATAGATATATATATATACCTCCCGCAGTTATACCTTCCGCAGTCTTGACAGAGAGAGATATATACCTACAGGTTATCCGTGACCCCTTTGTGTACAGTGTAGCCGAACGATGAGATAATGTAGCATAAGCTTACTGTATCTATGTAAATATATAGTACCCCCCCCCCTAACATCGAAGAGGTCAAACCTAATGCTTCTGTTGACTTTTAAGTGCAAAATCGTAGCTTTAGTTGTAAGTGCAGGAGAGCTTATGTATCTGCAAGTGTTACAAAGGTTACCCACTAGTCATATCAATAATATTTACAATGTGTGTGTGTGTGTGTTACAGTTAACTGTTGTGGCTTGTCTTACTGTTAAATGGGAAAACAAATAATATTTTGTCACAGCAAATACAAATAGATATTTTGAATATCAAGTTTAACAGTTTTGTACAGTTTATAGATATTAAGATTTAGTGATATGTTTTTATGTATATTTGTGACATTTGTTGAAGTATTACTGCTGTTGTGATCAGTTGTTGTGAAGCATCATAATGGTATTGTGGCCATAACTAGAAACAGTGATAAAATGGGGGACTATGAGGCTACCTCCCTTGTATAGAGGACCATGAGGCTACCTCCCTTGTGTCGAAGACCATGAGGCTACCTCGTGTCGAAGACCATGAGGCTACCTCGTGTCGAAGACCATGAGGCTACCTCCCTCGTGTCGAAGACCATGAGGCTACCTCCCTTGTGTCGAAGACCATGAGGCTACCTCGTGTCGAAGACCATGAGGCTACCTCCCTTGTGTCGAAGACCATGAGGCTACCTCCCTTGTGTCGAAGACCATGAGGCTACCTCGTGTCGAAGACCATGAGGCTACCTCCCTTGTGTCGAAGACCATGAGGCATACCTCCCTTGTGTCGTATTTATGTTCATGTCTACCTCCCTGTATATGTTGTGAGGGGAATCTTGTGGAGTCAATGGATGGGGATAGTGTCGTGTGAGGCGAGTAGTGGATGACAGAGGGATGGGGCTCAGCGCAGGTCGCTGGGCTCCTCAAGATGTCGCTGCTTCCGCCTATGTCTTGACCCGTATCACACTTGTCGTCTTCCGTAAATATATATATTTGTACATACTTCACTGTATAGAGCTGTGCCGGTCGTGATTATATATATATGTAAATGATCGGACACTGGCAGCGTTAACCCTAAGGGCCTTCAAATCCTGCTTAACGACAGCCGAGTTAAGCAGGACAATCTGCTGGGAGACACCTCGGAGGAAGCCATACCTCTGACAACCTTCCCTCGCCTAAGGTAACTCTCACTTGATGCTTCAGTTGAAAACACGATCTGTGTTGCCGATGGCGCGCGAAGGTTGTGTTCCAGAATGCGCGCTCCTCGTGGCATCCATCATTACCATTATTAAATGATGTTGGTCTCTCAGTAGAGACATCTCCATGTGTGCGTGACGTCACCACGAACTCCAGCTGTTGCAGCTAGAGTTCCGCTGTTTTCAGCGGATCGGTGACGTCACGCGTTCGCGTACTCGTCTTATATAATTAATAATATTTTATATTCCGTTTCATCTGTTTAGACAGTAATTGTTGAAAACTGAATGTCGAATCATATATATATATATATATATATATATATATATATATATATATATATATATATATATATATATATATATATATATATATATATATATATATATATATATATATTCCATTTAAAGAAGCATTATTTTCTGCCCTATATGAAACACTGACAAAATAACAAAGTCAAAATGCATAGCCAGGTTTCCCAGGTTTCATAATTTTATACTGATGGTTACAGATTAGTGAGTGTAGAGGCAGCGTGTGTGTGTGTGTATGTGTGTGTTTACTATGTGTCTCTGTGTCATGCATTCTCCTGCAGCACCTGTTGGGCCATGTGTCACAGCCAGACACGTGGTCCAGTGAGCTCTATTTACCCCCCCCCCCCCCTATGTAGCATACTTTTTTCGTGACGTGGCACTGAACACGTGTTCATCACGTGTTGTATTGTTGTCAGACACGTGGCTCTCAACACCTGTTCACCACGTGTTGTATTGTTGTCAAACACGTGGCTCTCAACACCTGTTCTCCACGTGTTGTATTGTTGTCAAACACGTGGCTCTCAACACCTGTTCACCACGTGTTGTATTGTCAAACACGTGGCTTTTCATCACCTGTACACCACGTGTAATATTGTCAAACACGTGGCTTTTCAACACCTGTTCACCACGTGTAGTATTGTCAAACACGTGGCTTTTCAACACCTATTCTTGCAGTTGTCTTCATCTTGACTGTCAAACAAGGCGCTTCAAACAATCAGGTCTCCTGTTGTAACTCGCTGTGTTATGTAACTGTGACACAGGTAAATCTCTCATGTGACACTATGTGACACTAGTGTCTTCGTGCCTCAGGCGCTTGTCACACACTGAATGTGTGTGTTGGTATGTATCTGTACCCAGGAGCTGGGCGGCTGGCTAGGGGCACCAGTCCCTGTACCCAGCAGCTAGGCGGCTGGCTAGGGGGACCAGTCCCTTGTACAGTCTCACGCACCGAGGACCACCAAAGTTGGTAAATGTCACTATGTTAAATCAAATACATTATATGACAGTTTATTAGTTGTTTGATGCCCCTCTTTGTCTGCGAAAAATAAGCAATTGTTTGAGCCCTCATTACAAAACCATGTAAATGGAGCCCTCTTAGGCCTACGTGAAGATTGTAGAAAGGCCAATAGACTAGGTTTCAAGGTCAAAACAATAAGATATCTTGAGTTAGATAACTTCAACAACAGTACTTAAAGTACTTTTGCTACTTAAAATAGCAAAAGAGCTAAATTAGCGGTGCTATTTGTAAAAGTAATGATAATTACATTTCCAAAAGGCTCGTTCATCACAGTTTCACTCAAAATTAATTGACATTTTAAACAACTATTCAACAATGACATGTTAAAGATTCGCTACCTGGAACAAAAAGTTCCAAGTAGCACGGGCTATGGTGAGCCCGCGCACAATGACAATATTCCCAGTACCGTTAGTTTCATGATAAACTAACTGTATGATGCGCAACAATATAAGCTACTGACTGACCTTCCACGTTGGGCCCAGTTAAGTTCAAAAGCACCACAAACACCCTAAATATGGTGATTCAGTGACAGCCAATCGAATGACGAAACGTGGCAAATAACCCGGATGAAGGAGGTGAGAGGACCAATGAAACGCGCCGGGACGAGGCTCAAGCCCCGCCTACTACTACTACGTCACACACATCTGGACGCTTGGACTTCAGTGACCAACGCTCGCCCAGGAGATATGGATGTACTCGCCTTCTCCAACAACAATTTAAAGTAAGTATTACCCTGTTTAGTGCATATTACTAATGTGGTCATCTTGGATAGTTTAACTTCCTCATTCTGATAACACTAGATGATCGCGCTCGTGGATAAATTAATGACCGTTCAAGATTCGTGTTTACTTTGTTGGTTGAAGATATTCTTAATTAATTTAATTTCAATGATTTTCGGATTATATTGGTAACTCAAGACTGTTGAGTTACCATGGAGCCGCAAGCCGGTGACATCGTACGATCGATAGACCGACCTTGGCCTGAGAAGCTAATATTTTTAAAGATCCTTATTCAATTGCAAGTGTTTTTCCAGCCATGGCAGCAGTCCTCAGACACCTCCCACAATTAGAAAATATATCCTTAGAATAGTTAGAATAACAAATGTATCATATACGCATAAATATTAGTAAGATCAAGACTACGACGATAGTTGACCAGACCACACACTAGAAGGTGAAGGGACGACAACGTTTCGGTCCGTCCTGGACCATTCTCAAGTCGATTGTCAATCGACTTGAGAATGGTCCAGGACGGACCGAAACGTCGTCGTCCCTTCACCTTCTAGTGTGTAGTCTGGTCAACTTACTTTAGCCACGTTATTGTGACTCATCGCCTGCCTACGACGATAGTCTTGCATTATCAAGAATTTAGTTCATGGCTCAGTTATTTACGGTTAAAGGAACTGAACCAAAGTATGACTACGGTTGTATATGAATCCGCAGTGGGTGTGGATGAGTTTACAACATATACGTGAGTGTATAACCTGTACATGAGTTTCCATGAATGCAGGTCATCCCGGCACCAGCTCTTGAGTATACCAGCTAACTTACGATGAAGTTAACACGCATAGGCTACACGCTGCTTTCAAATAGGTCGCCTGCTGTTGTCTATTTTTCCAAACTTGTGTGATTGGGCTGTTTATCCCGACCCTCAGCAATGGAAAACTAGTAATAATAACTGCAATATACTGTGCGTTTTTCGTTCTGGGCATCACACGAGCGATGAAACTAGATGAAATAGTTGGTCATGAAACCAGAATATATTCGGACAAGGCGTTGAATCAGTTGAAAATATTGTCCCTTGCTTTTTGTGATGAGTATTGTGGTACGGTAAAACCTAAAACCTTGCAAAGGTTTTAGGTTTTAAAGGCTTTAAAACAAATTTTTGCAAGAATCTGACATTTTAACAAAGGCGCTAACATGCAATTAATATATCTTATATATTCGGTAACCGATTTGTTGTAGGTAAAGTTAGGCGTCTCCGTTTAGTACTTTGAGGGATTTAGTGTCATAAGATAAGATTGGAGTAACGTACATGGTCTTTTGATGGAGAGTCCTGTCCAAGTATTGCTTACTTGAGCAAACTATGCGATCCAGTACCAGATTTCGTGATACCTGTGGCAAAGGTCTCTTGGAGGCCGTATTCAGGGTGAGACTGTGAAGGTATTGATTCAGTCTGTCCTCTTGAATAATACATCGCATTATTGACGTCAAAAATCCCAACGGACAAAATATGATGTACTATGAACAAATCCACAAGGGCCGTGACGAGGATTCGAACTGACGTAGGTTCCAACCCTCGACACAGCCCTTGTGAATTTGTTCATTCAATGCATCACGCTATTGTGATTTCTGTGTGTTATGATGTACTATAAAACATAGCAGTTCGCAAAAGTTCACGGTTTCTATGCGTGGTTCGTGGGTTAGGTTAGATTGAAGAAAGTTAGTACATCATTTTCTGCCCGTTGCAACCACTCCAGAAGACTGACATTACCGGTCTCAGCTGGTTGACTGACCTCTGGCGGTGATGTGCTCATGGTTGCTCCAGGCATGTCAGTCGATAACAGTCATTGGGATAAGGAAGTTTGCCTCTTAAATATCATTCTCAGCTCCAAAGTACCTTGTATAGAGACTGTTGTGAACCTCTTGTTGAATCGCTTGTGATATAAAAAGATTATTGATATGTATATGTATTTGTGTACACGTATGTGTAATATATATATATATATATATATATATATATATATATATATATATATATATATATATATATATATATATATATATATATATATATACTGAAAACTCACACCCCAGAAGTGACTCGAACCCATACTCCCAGATGCCACGCAACTGGTATGTACAAGACGCCTTAATCCACTTGACCATCACGACCGGACATAATGAGGTGATAGCCGAGGCTATTTGAACCACCCCACCGCCGGCACTCGGATAGTAATCTTGGGCATAGCATTTTACCAAATCACCTCATTCTTTGGGGCACACGTGAGGAACACAAATGCGAACAAGCCTGAATGGTCCCCAGGACAATATGCAACTGAAAACTCACACCCCAGAAGTGACTCGAACCCATACTCCCAGATGCCACGCAACTGGTATGTACAAGACGCCTTAATCCACTTGACCATCACGACCGGACATAATGAGGTGATAGCCGAGGCTATTTGAACCACCCCACCGCCGGCACTCGGATAGTAATCTTGGGCATAGCATTTTACCAAATCACCTCATTCTTTGGGGCACACGTGAGGAACACAAATGCGAACAAGCCTGAATGGTCCCCAGGACAATATGCAACTGAAAACTCACACCCCAGAAGTGACTCGAACCCATACTCCCAGATGCCACGCAACTGGTATGTACAAGACGCCTTAATCCACTTGACCATCACGACCGGACATAATGAGGTGATAGCCGAGGCTATTTGAACCACCCCACCGCCGGCACTCGGATAGTAATCTTGGGCATAGCATTTTTACCAAATCACCTCATTCTTTGGGGCACACGTGAGGAACACAAATGCGAACAAGCCTGAATGGTCCCCAGGACAATATGCAACTGAAAACTCACACCCCAGAAGTGACTAATGAGGTGATTTGGTAAAATGCTATGCCCAAGATTACTATCCGAGTGCCGGCGGTGGGGTGGTTCAAATAGCCTCGGCTATCACCTCATTATGTCCGGTCGTGATGGTCAAGTGGATTAAGGCGTCTTGTACATACCAGTTGCGTGGCATCTGGGAGTATGGGTTCGAGTCACTTCTGGGGTGTGAGTTTTCAGTTGCATATTGTCCTGGGGACCATTCAGGCTTGTTCGCATTTGTGTTCCTCACGTGTGCCCCAAAGAATGAGGTGATTTGGTAAAATGCTATGCCCAAGATTACTATCCGAGTGCCGGCGGTGGGGTGGTTCAAATAGCCTCGGCTATCACCTCATTATGTCCGGTCGTGATGGTCAAGTGGATTAAGGCGTCTTGTACATACCAGTTGCGTGGCATCTGGGAGTATGGGTTCGAGTCACTTCTGGGGTGTGAGTTTTCAGTTGCATATTGTCCTGGGGACCATTCAGGCTTGTTCGCATTTGTGTTCCTCACGTGTGCCCCAAAGAATGAGGTGATTTGGTAAAATGCTATGCCCAAGATTACTATCCGAGTGCCGGCGGTGGGGTGGTTCAAATAGCCTCGGCTATCACCTCATTATGTCCGGTCGTGATGGTCAAGTGGATTAAGGCGTCTTGTACATACCAGTTGCGTGGCATCTGGGAGTATGGGTTCGAGTCACTTCTGGGGTGTGAGTTTTCAGTTGCATATTGTCCTGGGGACCATTCAGGCTTGTTCGCATTCGGACAAGGCGTTGAATCAGTTGAAAATATTGTCCCTTGCTTTTTGTGATGAGTATTGTGGTACGGTAAAACCTAAAACCTTGCAAAGGTTTTAGGTTTTAAAGGCTTTAAAACAAATTTTTGCAAGAATCTGACATTTTAACAAAGGCGCTAACATGCAATTAATATATCTTATATATTCGGTAACCGATTTGTTGTAGGTAAAGTTAGGCGTCTCCGTTTAGTACTTTGAGGGATTTAGTGTCATAAGATAAGATTGGAGTAACGTACATGGTCTTTTGATGGAGAGTCCTGTCCAAGTATTGCTTACTTGAGCAAACTATGCGATCCAGTACCAGATTTCGTGATACCTGTGGCAAAGGTCTCTTGGAGGCCGTATTCAGGGTGAGACTGTGAAGGTATTGATTCAGTCTGTCCTCTTGAATAATACATCGCATTATTGACGTCAAAAATCCCAACGGACAAAATATGATGTACTATGAACAAATCCACAAGGGCTATATATATATATATATATATATATATATGCAATTGACGATCACAAAACACTGATCATTTTATGCGGAAAATCCACAGAGAAATATGAAATGAGATGAACGTTTCGGCTTGTTAAAGCCTTTGTCAGTCTGGTGTTGACAAAGGCTTTAACAAGCCGAAACGTTCACCTCATTTCATATTTCTCTGTGGATTTTCCGCATATATATATATATATTATATTTATATACTATTATATATATTATATTAGTATATTTATATTAGTATATTTTGGTAGCAGTCTTTCTTGTAAGCATATGTTGTTGAATATGACCGAAAAGGTAAGATTAATAATTCTAACACAAATTTTCTCAATATTTCTTATGTTTCTCTTCACTGTCGACAGTGAAGAGAAACATAAGAAATATTGAGAAAATTCGTGTTTAGAATTATTAATCTTACCTTTTCTGTCATATTCAACAACTTTTATTTATATATTTATTATGTATGTATATGTACATGTGCATGTAATATTAACAGTTGAGTAACTTGGTTCACAGGATTGTTACATGCTTAACTAAACCCACCTGAACCCATTATGTGCCTCTGTAACCCTTTCCACCACCGCCCATGGGATGGGTATGGAGTGCATAATAAAATAATTAAATGTAAAGCGCCAGGACTTTGAGACTATGTTCATAGGAAATGTTTTTAATCATATAAATCATAATAATGATATAAAAGCACAGTAATATATCACCATGTTAAAATTGGTATTTTTGACTGCAGTGTATGGTTGGAATTCAGTAAATCAAATTTGCATGCTCGTAAGTCGTGTATTTTGTACCTTATTCATGATTTAAATTATGTAAATATTCACATGCAAACCAATATCAAATTAGTAGTAGGCGTTAATGAATGATTAAATGTAAAGCAAGAAATAATTCGCCGCTAGACAAATTCGTGAACAAATTAATTTGATAGAATTTCAACCAAATTTTGCACTTTTATATCTTGTTAGAAAATTCTGACCATATTTGTGGTCCTTTTGATGATAGGTATACTTTCAAAATTATTCATATTTGTCGTTAACAATGTCCCGGTTTATATATATTGGATGTCGAGTAACTCGAAATGGATGAAAAGTAATTATTTCCTCGTATTCATTCAGCCCGTTCTTAGAATAAATAAATTCGAACGAGACATCAAACCACCTGGTTAGTTATCCTAATATTTATGATGGTCTGAAAACATATTACGGTTCTAATAATAGTCTACTTGTAAACTGGCAACTGAACCTTTGTCCTAAACAGTGTGGTGTCAAGCTATATCCTTATTGTATTATAAATTGCTGGTTTAAAATATAAACGGTATATGCTGAACTCGTTTTATTTGAAATGGTCTGAAATTTGTTTTTCTGTAAATTACATTTTAGGGAATAGAATTCGAAAACTATAGAAATAGTTTTCAAATTCCATATTTCACATTCTTTAGAATAATACTCCGTATTAATGTAAGCAAATGTAATGAAACTTATCCTAACCAATGGGACCTGCAATCACCTGTGAATTATTTAGACTGAGTTAATTACTCATTTACAGATGTTTAAAAGCTAATTCATTACATGTAATGTAATGTCATTATAACTATGTAGCACTTGGAAGGGATATAAGGATTTCAGGACAGGACGGAAAGAAGGAAGGAATGGTGCCCAACCACTTAAGACTGTCGGGGATAGAACGCCGACCTGCAAGAAGAGAGACCGTCCAGTGCAACCATTTGAACTGGACGGTAGAACTGTTCTTGAGTGGTTGTTGAATGGTTGATAAAGGACATGTTAATAATAATATATAATCCGACTCACAAGGTCTTCTCAAATCTGACGGATTTATGGATTGTAGAACGTAAATATTTGTTCATTAGGCCGCATATTGTTTATAGTTTTTCATTACATGTAGCCTATGCTTTATATATATTAAAACTTTTGAGCCAAACTTTACCTAACCTAACCTAAGCCTAGCCAAACCACAGTTAACCTAACCCTTAATAGTTACCTAGATATATATAGTTATATATATAATAGTTACCTAGGTAATAGTTAATAGATAATAATAAATAATAATAGATAATAGTTACCTAGACCCTACCTAACAGTAATTTAACTCAGCCTAACAAAAGAGAATATAACAAAGACAAATTATCGGTAAACAAAACATTTTTTTGTATTAATAAGATGACCGGCCGGTTTTCGTATACTTTAGGTATTCGTCAGGGTAAACTGAGGCCCAGCGTCACGCCTTCAGCAGTCACCACGATGAAAAGGTCACAAGAAACTAAAGTTCAGCCAAGATAAAAATGTACAATAATTATAATTTGTGACCTTTTTGTGAATTTTCAATTTTAAGGAGCCTCGTGCATTTCTTTCCATTCAAAGTCAAATATAATATATATATATATATATATATATATATATATATATATATATATATATATATATATATATATATATATATATATATATATATATATATATATATATATATAATATTAGGCTATGAAGAGTGATATTATTGTTTAGAACTAAATGTTGGTTTATCTCCCTAGTTCATCTACTGGAGCTTGATTGGTCAGGTCTCGCGCCACACTGTAATCTGTCATGGTAGGTGTACAATGGTTTTGAATGTTGGGAAAATGTGCATTATGTGGTATGTTATATAATTGTTGACTAATGGCGTTTTCCACTGCAGATATACATCACCTGCTGTACTATAAATTACTGTTTTTAAAACCAAACAATAAACCGAACCTTTATTGAATAGTATTCACTGTGTATAGATAATTTGATTACTGGCCTTGGGTAGTTAATTTACTTGTTTGGGATCCCCAGGTGCAGCAGAAGAGATGAATACTTGTTCCGGTGTGGTGGCGGTGGCGGTGGTGTTAGTGATGGTGGTGGTACAGGTGAAGAGCCAGGCTGCCGCCGCCAGGGACCCGCCCTCCTCCACCAACGTACGACGACTGCTAGGACGTAAAAAGCACACCCTTGCCTTGGAGAGCCACGCTGATGGGAGCGTGGTGATGACAGATCCCATGCCTCTTGTGCTGGCCGAGGTAGTGCGGAATCTAGGAGGTGACGAGCGTGGTCCTTGTGGCGTCCTGCTCTACTACGACCTGAAGACGGTGCCTCCCGAAGATTTGGATATTTTCCGCACTGCTCTGGACGTCCCCGTCACACTGGTAGATGTGAGCAAGCTTAAATTTTCGCTTATCACTAAAACACGACGCCGGGTGCCGCTCATCGACCTTCTCTCAAACCGGACAGACAACCGCTGCCGGATACTTGTGGCTTGGTCGTTAAGCACCTACCAGCGCGCCCTCCTTGTGATGGCTGAGGGAGAGCCTGGTGTTCTGGGTTCCAGAGACACCCTGGTCTTACCTGTCACAGACCAGCGCCTGGACCGTTTCATCCCGCGACTACGACGGCGCATCCTAGTGAAGAGGCGGGAACCACGCGGCGTGCGCGGACGCCGGGACCTTAATCTCACCAAGTTCCTGGTGGAAGGAGCTTGTGAAGTGTGTGAGCGTTACTTGTTGACCCGTCTGGGGGAGTGGCGACATCCTGAGGGGTGGGTATGGGGAGGAGCCATGCACTATGGTCAGGATCTGTCTGGGGGCACCCTAACGGTGGCTTACACTCCCTCTGTACCCAACATATTTCTAGTGGAAGGAGATGGTGTTCAGAGACTCGACGGCATCGAGTTGCGACTGTTGGAGTATGCGGCTAAAGCTCTTAACTTCAGCTATCGCTTAATTGGACCTGAAGATAGTGTGGGAGCTGTGAACAAGACGTGGGCGGGGAAGGTGAGCGAGGTGGTGAGTGGGCGGGCAGACATAGCTGTTGGTGGATTAGTGTACACCGAGGAACGAGCTTCTGTTGCCGAATATACCATTTTGTTTAATAACGAGTTGTGGGGCATCGTGTGCCCCTTGTCGGCTCGCCTGCCAGTGTGGCCCTACATCATGTTCCCCTTCAGGACTGAGTCAGCACCCTCAGTGTTCATCCTACTGGTAATGCTTCACGTGATGGTTTACCTGGTGGGGACGGTGATGGGGGCACAAGCGCCTCAAGGGCCAAGGGACCCTTGGGCAGAGTCCGTATTCAGAGTTGTACATGTTGGTATATCCATGTATCTTCGCTTCATGGCCTGCTTATACTTCTGGAACATATATTACTGCTTCATCAAACCCAAGTACGAGCCGCCAGTGGACACATCGGCTGCTCTTCTACAGTCAGGTTATAACTGGGGCGTGGTATCTGGCACCACTGTCCCCAGCATTCTCTCATTCTCTCGACACGATGACCACAGGCAACTTGTAAGCAATGCTGAACAACTCTCATCCATAAACGAAGGGTTTCAGCGCCTCCGCAAAGAAAGCCTGTGCCTGGTCGGGGTACCTAAGAGGTACGCATTTGCCACCATAGCCATGCGACATACAACGAAGTGCGGAGAACCCGGCTTGCAAGTCAGCACAGAGGACCTCAACTCTGTACTCGGTGGATGGATACTGGCTCGAGGATCCCCACTTACTTCCTACATAAATTCCATCATCTTACGCCTACAGAGCTTCGGCCTCCTGGATCACTGGCGGAAGGAAATGCACGAGTTTCTCATCACTCGAGCCCCTAGAGACCTGCCTTGTCTCAACCCTCCTCCTGCAGCTCTCACAATGTTGGATCTGCGGCTCGCTCTCTTTTTACTCGTGGGTGGCTGGGGTTTGGCCGTGTTCGTTTTCATAGGTGAACAATTTGCCTATAACTTCTTGAAGATGACTGGTGCGCCGGTTGAGCACCGCGACTCAGATATTCCCGCCCAAACTGAAGCGCCGTCTAACAACGAGGAACCCGGGAGTTTACGTGGGTGGCTCGCTGATATTTTGTATCCAGAACCTTCTATTAATATAAGTGCAAAAGAAGCAGCTTTTCGAAAACAGCTGAATTCTATCCTTAGAGATATTTGGGGTTTCGATACGAGATGAGATTGGACCCCAGAGGCGCGGGCGGCGTGGCCTTCGCCTCTGGGAGCGCCAAGGGACCGTACTCAGTCACTGCCTCTTGTACCACCTCGACCACGTCGGCACTTGCACGACATTCGTGACGTGCCTGTTGACCTACTCCATGTTGACCATCGTGACCCGAATGAATATAAGCAGGGTCCATGGTCGGTGTTCATGGTGGCCTCCAAGGCACCCTCACGCCCTGGCAACATCTCTACTGCTGCCAAAACTCATCGTAGGTCCTCCCTCTCCACTCCACTTCCTCAAGGTGCTACTTCCATTCCCAGACGCACCTCATTACCCCAGGAGGCAGACGACAGTTCACCCTGGGTGAGCAGTAGCTCCACATTAGTGCATCACCCTCACACACTTCCCTCGCCAGAAAGGGACTCTCCAAACATAAGACTCATCCAGCGCCTTGACTTGCCTCCAGCAGCCAAGAAGTACATGACGTATGATGCAGACAACTACTCTGAAGAGGACGACAACTAGCCAAATGACACGCGGCCTATGGTAGGTGAACTGATTTGCTCTTAAGATGTTCACTTTTTGTCTACGCGTGAGTTTATCCACATCACTCCATCCATGTAAACAAAGCCTCTGTGATGAAAGACGTACAGGCTTCATAAATGTTTGATGAATTCTGATCGGGATGGCCGTCAAAGGAAGTCTCGCAAGCTTCACCTCAAATCTACAAACCACATTTTGTGTCCCTTGTCCCATGCTCAGTTTAGAGCACGATAAACTGCTTACAGAGGTTTCTTGTGAAACTTGGAACTTAAACCTTCCATTTCCTTGGAACAATGATAATAAGTATTTCATTGTGGAATCTATTTATCTTGATAAAGTGCAGACAGTTTTCATTTCTATATACTTTAATATATAGTTCGGTTTCAGATATTGACTGGTGTATTAAGCAAAACGATCTTAATCTTGTAGCCCTTCCACGCAACACCAAGTTGGTCAGCAGTCAATAAAGCCAAACTTAGGATAGCGCAGATAACCTTCAACTAGCAAGGTTATTTATGGAGAGCAAGGATCTAGTTGCTCATACATTGCGCAAATACCACTGGGAACTGCATCTTTTACTTTGAGAACTAAACCACACACCAGAAGATGAGACGACGACGTTTCAGTCCATCTTGGACCATTATCAAGTCGACAATCGACTTGAAAATGGTCCAGAACGGACCGAAACGTCGTCGTCTCATTTTCTGGTGTGTCGTTTAGTTCTCAAATCTTCAAGCCACGTTATTATGACACTGTCTGCATCTTTTACTCTCATTTTTATGCATGTACAGTTTGTCAAACTACCACCATCGTGACCCAGAGTCTCTTAACACAACGAGTGAGAGTTTTAGCTAACTGTTATAGCCTATACCCGGCCTGTGGGTGAGAGAAAGGTTTCTGTCATAAAAGGTTCAGAGGCGATGTATTATTCGAGAGGACGAGTTTATTGGACCCAGGTAGTCTTCAAGACTAAGCAATTCACTTGGGTTAAATTACAACATAGACCTCACTTCCCCGTAGTCAGTGAGAGCGAAGCCCGTCCATCCAGTTGGCGGTGGTGGAAAGGTTAGGTATCTGCGTCGACTATAATCACTATATATACTCACCTATATACTTTGGCGGTATATAGATATTGCATATACCGACTATATATTCTTTGTATATATATACTTTGCCTCTCCGATAGGCAAAGTTGGCATATATTAACTTCGCTACGATTTCTGGTAGTTTTGAATGAAATACATTCATTTTGAATGAAATACTAGCACTTTTTTGGACACTTGTAATGAGGATCTCTAAATTCTTAGTTTTTGTTCATATTCTATCACATGGTTGTGCTGAGTTTACATTTGATCTGCTCTACTTCAGCCTTCAAAATCGAATTCAAATGTTTATTCAGGTAAAAGTACATACTGTACATAGAAGCATATAATGCAAACTCACCCAGATACTTAATAATCGACCCTAAGCCGAGCAGTAGCAAAATCAACGTATTTACCAATTTGATTGGATTATCCATAGGTATGTGACTCTTCTTGCACGATAATCTATGGAATAGTAAGTGTAGATATCACTTTATCTAATATCTATGATAACTACCGTTATAAATTTCGTTTTCTGTTAGTAGTTTTCTTTTAAAAATTTATATAACATAAACTAGTATATATTTTTCTGCGGCTACTGCGTTACATGTATAGGAAATATTACCGTTTAGCTTTTTATTATCGAGGACAAAATGCTTGCTAGGCTAATTAATTAACCCCTTGCCAACGGCAAAGTTGTCCGCCTGGTTAGTTTTGTTCCTTTATTATGCACCCCATACCCTTCTTGTGGGCGGTAGTGGAGAGGGTTACAGAGGCATATAATGGACTCAGGGACTGAACCCCACAATTCATGTAGCTGAGCAAGTTACGATCTTGATGAGCTAGTTGCAAAATTCAATGCACATCGTCACATCAACACTGGGCTCGGGACTGACCACAACTACAGTTTATAAATTAAGCAACTGACATATGTGGAGAGCTAGTGTCTCAATTGATATGAGAGTGATGTCTGGGGCCAGAGTTGGATATTGTTCTAATAGCGGCTTTGTGTTGGGTAATTAGAGGACGTAAGTGATTTTGGGTAGTAGAACCCCAAGCACAAATACCATAGTTGAGATAAGGATAGATAAGGGAGTAATAGAGAGTCACCAGGGCAGGGCGTGGTACATAATATCTGATCTTAGAAAGAATGCCCACAGTTTTTGAAACTTTTTTAGATATATTTAGAATGTGTCCCTGGAAATTCAGCTTGTGGTCAATGAGAATGCCAAGGAATTTGCCATCTAATTTGTTACAAATTTGGGTATTGTTTATTTTGAGATTTATAAGACTAGAGGATTTATTGCCAAACAGAATATAGAAGGTTTTGTCAATGTTAAGGGTGAGTTTGTTGGCAGTTAGCCAAAGATGGACTTTATTTAGCTCAGTATTTACTGTGGCATTTAGAGCAAGAGGGTCAGGACTGGAGTAAATGAAGGTTGTGTCGTCAGCAAATAGAATGAACAAATGGAGTGTAGTGCACAATTGATATGTTTGTCCTGCACACCGCCGCCCCGCCCCCGGTACCAACCAGTCAACTCCTAACAATATCTGAGTGACTCGAAATATCCACTGTGTCTTTAAGAAACTTAAGTTGGTTCTTGCGACGTTTGGCGGTAACAAGGGAAAACTCGAAGACACGAAAAGGCTATTATTATTACTATATCATAATTGTTTATAGTTAGACTTGAGGAGGGTTATGTTCTTTGTTTTGGTTCTATTCTCTTATTACTATTTCCAGTAAGTAGCTAAAGTATTTTAGAAATCTGCCTCGAACATTGTCAGTTGAACGCAATTAGTTGAGTAACGTGTGACATGTTTTTCATTCATAACCCTTAATTTCTTTTCAGGGGGGGTGGGAGGGAGGTCTGGATTAATGAGCATTTGGCCAATGTTTATATAGATGGGCTGTGGGTGTTGCACCTCCCAGCCTCACTCGATCGGTAGTATTGAATCGAGACCTATGAATAAACTGCTTGCATTCCTGCTCTGACATTTAAAGGTGAGGAACATGTGGGTTTGTCCTTGCCTCCCGCACACAATAATTATATTTGTTAACATTGTGGTGGCGTGTTTTAGTTACCTTCACCAATCTTGGGGGACAGGAAGCCCGTTAGACTTATCGAGGTCTTCCTAGTCCATCAGGTTGATCTCTCCTAGAATACAATACAACAACGTTCCCATTACTCCCGAGTCCATCTTTATTGTTAGGTGAAAGAAAACTTCCCCAGAATATCTCTCTCTCCTTCCCACGGGAATCAAACCCGTGACCCCCTTCTGTTGTAATCAGGTTATATTTGTAATGTTAGTAGCACACGGTATATGTCAAAATCAGTCGCTTCTTTCAAGACAGGGATTGTGTTGCAGGTTTGTGCGATTGGTCCATTAACGTGCCACAAGAGGCTATCAGCACTCCCACAATAGGCTATCACCACTGCTACAAGAGGCTAAAACCACTGCCAACCACCTCAGTGGTAATTTACCAAGCTCCCACCGCAGTGGTCACCACCACCACATCATCTTAGCAGTCAGTGGGCAGTAAGGAACAAGAATTCATTACAAATCAACGTCTGCTCGACCTTGGATTTCAATTTCCATGTAACTGACCAAGTACAAATTTATCAATTTCTCTTAAGAGATAGTTTAGAGAGGAAAACTAGCGAAATTCTGGATGAAATTTGTACGGATTTAGGAGTGAGGGCTGACAATGTTATTAGTCTACATCACGATTTTAGGCTAACTACATTGTCAGTCTTCGCTTATTGTAGATTGTACAATGGTATATTGTACAAGCTACTGTAGACTGGCTGTAAACTACAATCAATCTACAGATGCTTGTAGATTGGTTGTAAACTACAACCAATCTACAATCGTTTGTAGATTGACTGTAGTCTACAACCTTTAACCATTTTTCCAATCAAGAAGATCAATGCTAGTTTAGCCTGTAACCGTGAATATGCCATAGTGTTAATTTCCTTTTAATTTAATATAACTAACGAATGTTAATTTTCCGCCGTTATTTAACGCCATATGTACCAGGATAGGTATGACCATAGAGCAGCAATACCTATCTCCCTTTCACTATTTTACCTTACATCTACATGCCTATCACAAATGTTCTCTTGCCTATCAGCCTGTCACAAATATACCTCAAATGTACCAAGGTTTGATCATATACATTTACCTTACTTTGGGCTACTTCTCGCCAATACGCTAATCGATATTGTAAACTAGCCATAAAGTAGCTATTGAAAGTAGCCAATCGCTACTTCTCGCCTGCTGCACCTTCCTGCTCTTACGGGTGAGAGCTGTCCTGCTTCCTCCAAATACAGGAAGCCGGCTGCTTGTTGAAGGACCCCCCATTTCACTTGATCTTTTCCAGGTGTACATTAAAGCTAAAAAGAGTGTCTAACATATTCATTCATTGTATAGAGTCCAACCTACTCTCCTCTTCTGTATAGTATATTCAACATGATTTCCTCTGTTGTATAATATATTCAACATACTTTCTTCTAGTGAGTAAGCGTAGCATATTCTTGACTTGATACACTGAAGAATATTTTATATATGTATTATAAAGACATTTCAAATATATTCTCCATATTGTTTTATTTGTGTAAATTAATCGGACTTAGAAGAGTACTAAAAGTTATTTGATAGCCTTTTTAATATGGCATCACATTGACTGTTTATACAATGATGTTTTAGTGGTGGTGTCAGATATATCATGAAATAATGTTTAGAAATATACTATATTTTTTTCGCCAATGCTGCAATTTACATCATAGTTGCTATCAAAGAATAGCAATTACACGTGTTCCAAGATTCATCCCAACAAGATTGACTTTTTACCTATTAAACAAAATATATATTATATGATTCATAATTTTATCATTACAATAAATGTTAAGGTTATCTAATGGAGTATATTACCCATAATTATATTGTGTAATAACGAGAAAATATATTTACTTTTAGTAATCCGGCCCCAGCCATTATCATGTAAATATTGCACCTTTAGTGAACTCTCCAGCACCTAAATTGCTAATCCTAAACTCAATGATCTCAAATAACAGGAGCGAGGCTGAGTGGTGTGAGTGCACTGGCCAAGGAGAGTTGTTGTTGTTATAGATTCAGCTACTGTCAACAAAAACCTCCAAGTAGCACGGGCTATGGTGAGCCCTAGTGGACTTACCTGGCAGAAGAGCGGGGCCTGTAGCCTGACCTTTAATAGGCTGCGTGGAGGCCTACACCTTCACAGGGTCATCCGTGTTCTAACGGGCTTCTTGCCATACATATTCGCAACATGTCGAGGGTATTGTGAGATGTTGCATATATTTTGATTACTAGATGTTGAGATACGTATAATTTTGCGATGTTATAGATCTCTCTTTTTTTAGCATAAATAGATTGTATATAGTGTATACTAAAATTATATATATTGTATATGTTAAAAGTATAAGTAGCGTTTTATTCACCTTTTTTGGTACCGATGTTGGGAAGCTACCACTTATCATTGGTTAATTATATAGTGGACTGAGTAGCCTGATCAATATTCGAACAACTGTGTGTAGCCTAGCCAATGTTCGAATAATGTGCGTAACCTGGCTAATATTGGACCCTTGTCTGTAATGTTCCAACATTGTGTAGGTGTATCCTTGTTAATGTTCCAACATTGTGTAGGTGTATCCTTGTTAATGTTCCAACATTGTGTAGGTGTATCCTTGTTAATGTTCCAACATTGTGTAGGTGTATCCTTGTTAATGTTCCAACATTGTGTAGGTGTATCCTTGTTAATGTTCCAACATTGTGTAGGTGTATCCTTGTTAATGTTCCAACATTGTGTAGGTGTATCCTTGTTAATGTTCCAACATTGTGTAGGTGTATCCTTGTTAATGTTCCAACATTGTGTAGGTGTATCCTTGTTAATGTTCCAACATTGTGTAGGTGTATCCTTGTTAATGTTCCAACATTGTGTAGGTGTATCCTTGTTAATGTTCCAACATTGTGTAGGTGTATCCTGTTAATGTTCCAACATGTTAGGTGTATCCTGGTTAATGTTCCAACATTGTGTAGGTGTATCCTGGTTAATGTTCCAACATTGTGTAGGTGTATCCTGGTTAATGTTCCAACATTGTGTAGGTGTATCCTGGTTAATGGTCCAACATTGTGTAGGTGTATCCTGGTTAATGGTCCAACACTATAAGTAGAGTAAAACTGCAGACTGGTTAACGTTTTAACACTGACTATCAAGAGGAGAAGATACGTCGCCAATCTGACACCGTCGAATGAAAAAGGTAGATTTAAAGATGTGACTTTTATGCATGTTTTATTGATTACATAGGTTGAGTAAAGGGGAACATGTGTAACAAATCGGTTTTCGGTCATGCCTGTAATAAATAGTTGATGGTTTTCCACAAGTGCGAGGTTATTAAAATATAAAATGACTCACACCGGTCGAAAATTTCTAGTAAAATGCAGAGCGCCGTTGTTGAAGGCCTACCACCTTCTGGAGGGTTATTAAGGCCACCACAACAGCTTACTGTCCAACAGGCAAAGTATACATTAGCCCTGAACATAGCTCAGGACTAAAGTATACTTTCAGTATACACAGAGAACTGGGTTGTTGTTGTTGTTAAAGATTTGCTACCTGGAACAAAGTTCCAAGTAGCACGGGCTATGGTGAGCCCGTAGTACCTTTTGAGAACTGGGACACACCTCCCAGTGTTTCCTTTGTGACCATCATATTTGTACATTTTAATATTGGAGTTATTGGCGTCATCCGTAGTTGGCAATAACAGCCAGATTATCGTTGAGAACGTGAGATGTTCACCCATCGCAATACGCGCCCCTTGGCTCCAAAGATGAAAAATATCTATAATGCCCGAATGAACATTCACCCAGTATTTTGCCTGAGTCTGATTACACATTAAATGATAAAAATAACAAGACCGCGAGTATATATAAAGATGGCCTTGCAGATGAACACCAAAGACAGAGTTGGTGAAGCAATTCTTATCTCTAGTCCCGCGTATAATATATTTGTTTTGTATTCTTCTGCATATCTATAGGAAACTTTTCGTTCATTAATTAGTTACCTAAACTACACTAATCCTTTTCATTTTCAATCGCATTTTCATGTCTCATATATTAGTAATATAGCTGTATTTCTTTTATGTTTTTTATTATTTGAATTAACGTATTTCTACCACTGGATTTTTCCCAATTTTAGCATACTTTATATTTTAGAATCTGCTATATTTTGTGCTCTCACCATTCATGATTTCATCTCTGTTTTCTCCCTTCCCATCCACCTTTATGTTTGTCGTCTACGGGTTCTTAGTCTACCTTTTGTTTTCTTAGTCTTTCTCATTATTACCCTCACTCTTGTCTCCCTACTTCGTACTCACTTGCGACGTTCTTGAGCATTCTTTTTAGTTACTACTTTCTCTCGATTTTCCAGTTTATGCATTTCAGTGATCTTATTTTCTCCAACTAGCTGCCCGTTCCCTCTCCTCTTCTTCTCTCCTTTCTTGCCTCCCTCCTTCCTCTTCAGTTTCATCTCAGAAATAGTGCAGCTGGTGAAGGTTGATGTCCATCCATGGCTTGTAGAAAGTGATGCGGGTGAAGACCGCTGGGAGACCCACGTTGGTGCAGAGGGGGAACCCGAAGCTCACCACCCCGATCTGAGTACACTGTACACCCGAACACGTGACCAGCGGTCCACCGGAGTCACCCTGCAGAACATAATAGTGAGTTAACATGCTGCACGGACTTATCTTCACTGGGGGGACCAATGGGCTTTACTGAAAGTATGAATCAAGAAGTTTTGGATTATCGCTCTGTACGGAGCTTTACTGAAAGTATGAATCAAGAAGTTTTGGATTATAGCTCTGTACGGAGCTTTACTGAAAGTATGAATCAAGAAGTTTTGGATTATCGCTCTGTACGGAGCTTTACTGAAAGTATGAATCAAGAAGTTTTGGATTATCGCATTCGGAGCTTTACTGAAACCTCCGACATTTTTTCGTCGTTGAAAAACATAGGATTTTGTGATTTGTGCAGCGTTGTGCCATTATTTATGTTGGGGAAGGGTGTTGTGGTCGTTGTCGTGTTCGTGGTCGTAGTCATGCCCGAAACGCTGTGGTTTTAGTAACTTTAATTCATAATGCATTGTGTCGGGGGACAGGAAGCCAGAGTGTATTCATGCACGGTTGGTTTATATCGAGATCCCTCACACCCCGCGTCCGAATTACTGACCCCGCCCAGGATGGAACCACACAACAAGCTGACTAACTCCACAGACATAACTTTATGGAGGAAAGACTATCTGACTAACCTTTAAACATAGTATATACTTGCTCTACCTAGAAATCCAACATTCCTCATGTATTTCATTTTGTGTCTATGTACTTTCCCTAAATAAACATTATCATTATCATAATGTTTAGCGCGTTCGTGATCGTGGCAGAAGTCATGACCGTGTTGGTATTCATAAGCTTCGTCGTGGTCGAAGTCAGGGTCGTGGTCAATCGGAGGAGTACACCGTGACGTCATGGTCATTGTTGACAACACACGCGTCAGACAAATTCGTGGCGTTCGAGAGAATAGGTGTTTTAAGTAAGAATAAGCTGACGACGATTCCCCTTTCTTCACCGTAAATGTCCGCTAAGAGGTGCAGGATCAATATATAGCAAAGGTGAGTGGAGGAAATACTGTAATATTGTGTTAGCAGCACCAACAGGAGTATTTAGGTGGCTGACGCAGGCGGCTACTCGCCTGATTGATGGCCGCCATGGTGGCATGAATTTACCTGAGGGCCACTAACACTAATGGCCTCGATGAGGACAGGAAGCCGGCGGCATGTAAAAGGTCCCCCTAACTGTAACAAGGGGTTCTCATTACGACATCAGGGGGTAGATACTCACGTGACAAGGGGTCCCCCTTTTAACAGTGAGACACACATGCTTGTCGTATTTAGCGCTGACGCCCGGGAACTTCTCCCAGGCTAGGACGCACGCCGTAGTGTTCATCAGAGGCGCCGTGTACTCCTTCATGACGGAACTCGTTTTCTTCACAGTAGTTGCGTACCTCCCCCACCCCGTCACCGTGGCGTTGGCCTCCTCGAAGCGGTCTTCTGTAGATAAAGCACATTGTCAGCAGGCGGTGTCTGAGACAGGACAGGTAGAAAGGGAAGGGGGGAATACATACCGAGAGGGGTTAGGGGAGGGGGGTATTCATACCGAAGGGGAGGTCAGAGGTAGGGGTATATACATACCGAGGTCGGAGGGAAGGGGGAATACATACCGAGAGGGGTTAGGGGAGGGGGGTATTCATACCGAAGGGGACGTCAGAGGTAGGGGTATATACATACCGAGGTCGGAGGGTATCTTGACAGCGCTGATGCCGTAGGAGAAATCAATCGGCCACTCGAGCTCCAAGATAGCAATGTCGTTGACGGTGGAGTGTGGGTTGTAGTGCAGGTGCCAGTGGATAGCCCTGATCTGATCCATGCACGGACCAGAGTAGTGATGGGGTCGTTCCAACAGGAGACAAGTCGTTCGGGAAGAGTGGAAAGGGTTCGAAAGGGTAAATAATGGTTCAGATATTGGCATATTGATTACAACTGTGTTCAACGTGAAATATTTATTATAATAATTAACATGAAGTACGAAGCTTATACGAATTCCACCACTGACGACCTAAATTATTTACTCAATAATATATGTAATGGGCTAGTACAAAAACTATTTTACTTACAATTCGATAAATAAGCACTGATTGGTCTAGTTATATCACAGACCGGTCCGAGAATTAACAAGTGTAAGGTGATGGAACTAGAAACAGGTGCCAGGAGACACGAAGGATGATACATGATGAAGGGAAACAACCTCCACGTACTAGTAGAGAAAAGACCTGGGAATGACTATAACATCAAAACTAACTCCGGAGATACACACAAATATGATAACATTAGCAGCATACTTGATAATGACCAAAGTCAAACATTATTCAGGAACCTAAATAAGGAGTCATTTAGAATTTTAGATCACTGCACACCGTCAGCATGATGCCAGTTTTTAAGCATGCTGTCTAATCTTGTACCCTCGTCTGTAAAAACACATACGAAAACTAGAAAAGGTTCAGACGTTTGCACTGTGGCTCGCCCCAAGATTACGAAGGATGGAGTATGAAGAGAGACTGCAAGAACTAGACCTAACGTCGCCAGAAAAAAAGGAGACATAGACATACAGTTCTCAGAAAATTTGACAAATTGGAAAAATAGGAAACTTTCACAATGAATACCAATAGAACAAGACGGCATGGATGGAAGCTTCAAAAACAGACGAGTCATGAAGATGTTAGAATGTTTTCGTTTAGTCTAAGAGTAAATGGAAAATGGAATAGATTAAATGAGCAGATTGTGGAATCGAACCCCCATTCATAATTTCAAAAGTAGACATGATTGAGAAATATGACAGAAATATACATTAGACAACCAGCAGCTAGAAAGACTGGGCCCAAGAGCTAAAACTCGATCCTGCAGGCACAAACAGTTTAGTATGTACACACACACACACACGCACGCACGCACAAAGGTCACGTGTAGATGACCTTGACTTACCCTGGAAACTTTGTTTTTGGTTTCATTGCGGGTGGTGAGGTCATGGTCTCCCAGACTAACCCTCACTTCGTGTATACCTCTTGAGAAGCTCCTGTGTGGGGGGGGAGAGTGTTTTATATCATATCTCTTCACTGTTTCACACTGCGAGTTTGGGGAGAGAAAGGTAAACCCGTCTTCTTTATATTATCATATATACTTCATGGAGTTTATTCACTTGACGTCACTGTAAGGGGTCTATGCAACTCATTTACCTGTCAAACATTTTGAATACATTTGACATATTAAATTAATTTCAGATCTAAATTTTTTTTAACATGCAACACGATTATTTAGTTAAATTTATTGGAGAAAAGAGAGGAAAATCCGCTCATTTCTCTATGTTTGATCCTGGAACAGAGTTCAGCCTTTGTCTTAACTGTACAGTCTTCACATAATACTAAGTGTAAGGGAGGCAAGGCGTCTTAATGACATAAGATGTTATCAGTATTATTATTTTTATTATTATTATTATTATTATTATTATTATTATTATTATTATTATTATTATTATTATTATTATATACCGAAGCTTAAAGAGCGCACCAAGATGTTGTTCTTTAACATTCAGCTACTGGGATCAAAACGTTCCAAGTAGCACGGGTTATGGCGAGCCCGTAGTGGAATTACCTGGCACAGGAACGGGGCTGTAACTTGATACATCAGGAAAATGGAAACACAGTCATTGAGAGCCAAACTGTTGGACTAGATGACAGGTGGAAATAGGAGGGAAGAGACACCTACCCGAAGACACAGTGGGCAGCAGTGAGAATGTGTCTGTCACTGATTATGGAACCACCACAGAAGAACTTGGACTTGTACACCAGTGCCACCTGGAAGGGAGCATAACACCTGCCTTAGGGACACATACAGTTACACATGTTAAAGGATTCACAGTGAAAATTGGTTCTCACAACTATAGCCTCATGCTATTTTGATTTTGTAAATTGCTATTCCTGCGCGGGCCCTGAGCCTCTGGCTGGCCCACTGGAACTCGTTTCAGTCTCAAGAGGTGGACAGGTGTTAGACTAGTGTTAGTTGTAGTATGGTTAGGTTCCATGTGTTGAATAACAACTGTTGAAATAACAACAATGTTGAAATAACAACAACTAATGTTCTATGTTCTAATTCACTAGAATGCGTCCAGCGTAGGATGACAAAGCCTATCCCACAAATTAGAAACCTGTCATAATGAAGAAAGATTGACAAAGCTTAAGCTACATTTCCTGGGAAGGTTGAAGAATCAGGGGTGACATGATTGTACAAGTTGATGAATAGACATAACAAATGGGATATTAATATTATTGGGTGGGTGGATATGAATAGGAGCTGCCTCGTATGGGCTAATAGGCCTTCTGCAGTTACCATCATTCTTATGTTCTTATGCTGTTAAATCTCGGTGGTGATCTTATTTTGTTTGCAACTCTGCACTGTGTTAGATAATGTCCAATGGGCTGTTTGGCATTTTTTCTCCTGTTCTGATTTTAGTTAGCAAATGTGTTGGCGGTGTGTGTGTGTGTGTGTGTGTGTGTGTGTGTGTGTGTGTGTGTGTGTGTGTGTGTGTGTGTGTGTGTGTGTGTGTGTGTGTGTGTGTGTGTGTGTGTGTGTGTGTGTGTGTGTGTGTGTGTGTGTGTGTGTGTGTGTGTGTGTGTGTGTGTGCGCGCGCGCTCAGGTTACGTTACAGGTGCCCACTCACTGTATGCAAATACAGGAACTAATTAATTTCTCTTCGCTACGTCTCTGTACCAGAAACCCCACGGGGAAATCACCAAAAGCATTAAGTAAAAACTAATATAAACGGTTGACCAGACTACACACTAGAAATTATTATCAGACGTCATGAAATAATGCTTAATTATGTGAATGCATAGCGGGAGACAGCATAATATTTTCCTAGTTCAGACATAGTATAAAGAATAATATAAAACTTGCCCCTTGTTACACCGTTTATACTATGTAGGCGATGAGTCACAATAACGTGGCTAAAGTAAGTTGACCAGACCACACACTAGAAGGTGAAGGGACGACGACTTTTCGGTCCGTCCTGGACCATTCTCAAGTCGATTGTCGGACCATTCTGGTAATGGCTCAAAAGGGCCTCCACTTACGGGCTATTCATGCCCGTGCCACCTCTTGGGTGGCTTAATCTTTATCAATCAAATAAGTTTTGTGTAGTCAATCACCGGGACACAAAGTTACCTTGATAAGGCAGACTAACTGTGAGGAGTTATGAGACTTACCTGCCAGGGATACTCATTAATGTTGGTGTAGACCCCACCAATGATCCTGAAGCTGCTATCTATGCTATCGTCGTCGTACTTCCAGCACCTGTCATCCACCTTCAGCTCGAACACTGTGGACAAGCACACAAACACTCCGTTATCTTGACACATTAGTCCTCGTCGCTCTGTTTACATAAATCTCATTCTATTATTATTTAGCTACTTAATTCTTTAGACAGCTGTTTGTTTTGTTGTTTTAGATTTAGCTACTCAGAACGAAGTGTCCATGTAGCACGGGCTATGGTGAGCCCGTAAGTGTTCATCTGTCACCTGAGGGCCACGGGAGACATCTCCCGTCACGCAGGGTGTAGTCGCACCTCCACAGATCTACAGTATCATCTACTGATACTGTTATGGCTCAAAAGGGCCACCACTTACGGGCTATTCATGCCCGTGCCACCTTTTGGATGGATTAATTTTCATCAATCACCTCAGGGTATCTATATACTTCTATATAGACACCCCTTTGGACTTGGACATAGTAAGAACAACTACGGGCTCACCATAGCCCGTGCTACTTGGGAATTTTTGTTCCAAGTAGCGAATCTTAAACAACAACAACTTGGACATTACGTGCCTAGCTGGAAGAGTCAAATGATCCTCGTTCTCAAATGAACGTAATGTGAACGTTCACATTACGTTCACGGCATCAGATACGAGTAAGGACGTGTATGGAGGCTCCTGGACGTAACCCGAACACAACCTCGTTTGACCCCGATCACGACGTTAGAGCTAACCCGCCAAACACACACCGAAACTACGACGTTGGTACAACGTTCGAACAAGTTTTAAAACCTCCTAACCAGTTATAACAACCAATATAGCAAGTTGTAACAACGTTCTAATACGTCATAAACACGTTAAGCCTAGATGTAACAAGTTTATTACAAGTTGTAACAAGCGGAAAATAGAGTTTCGGTTTATGTTTCCAGGGAAGAATCTATGGAATAAGAACGATAACGTACCTCTCCTGAAAGCTGATATCGCTGACGTGGTGTCCACACTTTCCAGGTACACACCCTCCTCTGACACAGCCTCTGGCGGGGCTCGGATCAATACCTGTAATGCCACGCAGGTATTTAAGTTCCGTGGAAATACCTGTTGCTTTAAATATTTGTATACACTTGGCAGTATATATACTGTATACTGTACATGCCTAATATTATAATTATATTGTCCACACATGACACTGTAATTATTTGGAAATGCCTGTCGCTATAATTATCTAAAAGGCACTATAATTACCTGGATACATACTTGTTAACCTGGCACCTTATTTACTTAAACACATAAATTAAACTATCAATACTTATATAAATCTCTCTGTCTGTTTGTCTGTCTGTCTGTCTCTTTCTCTCTCTCTATGTCTCTCTATGTCTCTCTCTGTCTCTCTCTGTCTCTCTCTGTCTCTCTCTGTCTCTCTCTGTCTCTCTCTCTGTCTCTCTCTGTCTGTCTCTGTCTGTCTCTCTGTCTGTCTCTCTGTCTGTCTCTCTGTCTCTCTGTCTGTCTCTGTCTGTCTCTCTGTCTGTCTCTCTGTCTGTCTCTCTGTCTGTCTCTCTGTCTGTCTGTCTGTCTGTCTGTCTGTCTGTCTGTCTGTCTGTCTGTCTCTCTCTCTCTCTCTCTCTCTCTCTCTCTCTCTCTCTCTCTCTCTCTCTCTCTCTCTCTCTCTCTCTCTCTCTCTCTCTCTCTCTCTCTCTCTCTCTCTCTCTCTCTCTCTCTCACTCTCTCACTCTCTCACTCTCTCACTCTCTCACTCACTCACTCACTCACTCACCCCTACAGAAGAAGGGGTGGTCAGCGTGCCCGGCTTGAGAGTGGTGGGGAGCGGTTCCTCCGGCTCCGGTGTGGTCGTCACCACTCTCACCACCGGGTCGTTCATCACCGTGGTCGTCTCCTCCAACATCTCCGTCGTCTGGGTCGTATCTTCAGTGGTGGGAGTCTCAGCGGTTGAGTCGGTGGTCGTGGTGGGTTTCTTGGTAGTAGTAGTGGTGGTGGGTTTGTACTTAATGGCATCGGCATTCCTAATCCCAGCCCACGTCGGTGCTGTTTCAAATAAATACAAGAGTTACCCATCATATTGACACACACAGCACCGCTCCTGTGCCAGGTAAGTTCACTACGGGCTCACCATAGCCCGTGCTACTTGGAACTTGTTCCGAGTAGCTGAGTATATAACAATATTGTATTGATCTATACGAGCCTTTGAGTTACTCGTTGTAATGACAATCACGGACGAGGCACTCAGAGTGTGCTCGAAAGGGCGATTTGGCGCACTTATAATGGAAGGATGAGTGCATTTGCATGCGGTTACGATGTGTCAATGACGTGGCTGAAGATATGAGGACCAAACAAAACATCAGAAGATGAGGAGACGACGACGTTTCGGCCCGTCCTGGACCGAATCGACTTGATAATGGTCCAGGACTGACCGAAACGTCGTCATCTCCTCATCTTGTGGTCTGGTCATCACTGTGAGGCGAGGGCGTGTGTGTACTTACATATGAAGGGGTCGATATCCTTGCAGGCGATCTGGGTGACGCGGATAGAGAAGGTGTACTCTGGTACCCCCTGGACCACCATGGCCAAGATCAGCCAGTTCTTCTCCTTCACATGGAACGTTGCTGCAAAACATATGTCGCTGTAAAGGCCAAGTCTCGAGATATGTAAATATTTACATGTTGTTGATGACGTCACGAAACTCCCATTCTCTGAATTTTTAATGGCTAACTATTGTATGTTAACATGTGTGTCGGATTTCCGACAGGTTTATTTATCCCCTCACAATGCTGTGCTGCCTCCCCCTTACTACAGTGATTCCCCCTCACCTACCTACACTGTCCCTGACCAAACTGTCACATACTATCCCTCCTACACTCACGCTATCCCTCACACCTACGTACACTACCTACCCACACTACCCCACCCACCTACACACACCGGGCTCCACCCATCCCCCCTAATTCGGTCGTCGCACCTTTCTCGAATTCCACAATCCATCCCAACATTTCACCAACACTTGAGCCTCCCTCTCCCACGCTCGTCAACAAGCCACCCTCACACAAGCCACCCCTCCCTACCCAAGCCGCTCCCCCACAAGCAACTCCCCCTCATCGGCCTCAAGACATACATACTGGTCCAACCGGTCATGTTGCCGCAGAAGGGGGTGGACGTCTCGTTGAGGCTGCTGCCTAGTACCGTCAGGGTGTCTCTGATGCACACTCCCTCGTCGTACCGGGCCAGCTCAAACTTCTCCATTGCCAGTCTGTTGGGCACAAGACACGCTTAGTTGTGGTCTTGTGGGGTGTGGGTGGTTGTGGTCTTGTGGGGTGTGGGTGGTTGTGGTCTTGTGGGGTGTGGGTGGTTGTGGTCTTGTGGGGTGTGGGTGGTTGTGGTCTTGTGGGGTGTGGGTGGTTGTGGTCTTGTGGGGTGTGGGTGGTTGTGGTCTTGTGGGGTGTGGGTGGTTGTGGTCTTGTGGGGTGTGGGTGGTTGTGGTCTTGTGGGGTGTGGGTGGTTGTGGTCTTGTGGGGTGTGGGTGGTTGTGGTCTTGTGGGGTGTGGGTGGTTGTGGTCTTGTGGGAGGTTGTGACCTTGTGTGGCAGGTGCGGGCGTTACTGTGATAATGTCATGTGAAGCCATGAGCTTACTGCAGAGGTCATGCAGTAAGACACCATGAAACCTCACACTAAGGCGTTAACATACCTGACGGCGCACACCTTCTTGCCAATCTCCACCTCGAAGTTGCAGGTCCTGGCCTCCGAGTCGTTCTTGGGGAAGGACGGGTTCCTGAAGTAGGCGTGGTGGGCGCTAGTCCGGCCCCCGCACGTCTTGTCCACTAGGGGAGGGAGGAAAGAGATCAGGGAACGGGGTTCTTGATCAACGACGGATTAGCAATCCAGTTTATTTGCGAACGGTTAGAAAACGGGTTACTTTCAAGAGCCATTATTTCTTGACACATAAAACATTTAAGCTGTTAACCTATCTTGGACATTAAATCCAGGTACAAGTACTATGAGCAGAATGATTATGAAATTGAAATAAGTTTATTGAGGTAAAATACACACAAAGGGATGAGGTAGCTCAAGCTATTCTCACCTCGAATGATTATGGGTAAACACAGAAATCACAATAGCGTGATGCATCGAATGAACAAATCCACAAGGGCCGTGTGTGGAGGTTCATGACGAGGTTCGAACCCTCGTCACGGCGCTTGTGGATTAGTTCATTATGGGTAAAGTCAAGCTTTACAACTTCTTTAGTAGCTTTTACAATATTGAAGATATATATACACCTACTAATCAGCCACAATAACAAGTTCTAATGTACATTGTATAAATAATTATTATAATTATAATTACCAGAATCATCCTAATTAAATTAATAATTCAGGTTTCCCAAAATTTATAATATTATCAATGCATTAAAATACGCAAATGTAAGATCTATGAAAAATGAAATATTTTAGGTAAAGCAATGTACATAAAATAAATTACTGTATTAGATTTAGTATAGCACATTAAACCCTGTACTGTAGTTCAGTACATTCGTGCTCACCTAGTTGTGCTTGAGGGGGGGGGGGTTGAGCTTCTGCTCTTTGGTCCCGCCTCTCAACTGTCTAGGTGAGGTTACGTAAGGATTTATTATTTTATATTTGTGCACGTCTTGTAATGGTAAGCAGTTTCAAAATATAAACATTATTGAAATGTAGCAAATATTAAAACAAAATTACATGAAAATATGAAAAATATGAAAAAAATATGAAAAAAGTGCTAATTAGTATTTATTGGTTTAGTTTTCAATGTTTAATTTGCCATGAATTATTTAATATGTATGCCGTCTAATTTTTTAAATAATTGACAAATGAATTGAAACGTCATCGTCCCTTCACTTTCTAGTGTGTGGTTTGGTCAACATATTTCAGCCACGTTATTGTGACTCCTCGTCTGCATAATTGACAACATTGATTTGTTATGGGTGAGCCATATCTGGTAGCAAGAAAAAATTTGGTGGAAATACCCATTGACTCCAGCAATGCATAGCCTTCTTTTAGTTTTAATAGAACAGTTACTATTTACTTATTAAGTATTTATATAATACGTTGCTATAATATTATAGAAATGTATTTCATAAAATATATATTTAACATGAGTTACAAATGCACAGAGTATATATTGCTGGCATGACAGGATCTACCGTCGAAGGTAGATTCAGCTCCCGGTTGTGTAGTAGAGGAGACTTTATTTATGTACGGTTTACGTAAAGCCAGAAGTGTTCGGATGTGTCGAGGTGGGAATCCGAGGGTTTTAGGAAGATCGGCGTTCTTAAACAGTTTCTTGAATGGATTAGAGGACTAGTTTCTGGAGAACGTATTTTTTGAGGGTCAGAAGACGGGTTTCTAAAGATAAGGTAAATTATGCACAATAATAGAGTACAGGGTTTCTAAATCTAGTAAGAATCGAAAAAACTGAATTGATTGAGAAATCTATTTTCAATTCGTCATGCGAGTGATCCCCAAACATACTGGAAATATTATAATATTACCTGATTGTACTTGAATATTTCACCAGATAATATATATCTGCAAATGTTTATGGAAATTAGTAAATTAAGTTTCTAGTGGCACTAAGGAGAATTATACACACACTCTCTCTCTCTCTCTCTCTCTCTCTCTCTCTCTCTCTCTCTCTCTCTCTCTCTCTCTCTCTCTCTCTCTCTCTCTCTCTCTCTCTCTCTCTCTCTCTCCCACACACACACCAATCACCTTCCCTATCCACTTAGACCCATTAAAACCGTTGCGACCTCGCTTCCTGCAAGGTCGGTGTTCGATCCCCGATAGCTCAAACGGTTGGACATAGTTCCTTGGCTTCATCTTTTCAACTCCGTCTCCCCCCTTCCCTCCCTCACTCCCCTGCACCTACCCACGCAGCAGTAGGCATCAGTGGCGCCACAGTAGCCGGCGAAGAGCCCTCGCTCCCTAGCACAATCCTGCTGGCTCAGACACGCGCCTACTGTGGTATCCACCTTACACATCTGGTAGTTCCCGCTGTCTCTGGCCGCGTACGTCGTCAGCTGCTGGAAGATCTCTGTTGGATGTACAAGAAGAAGATGAAGTTTAAGCCATCCAAAAGGTGGCACGGGCATGAATAGCCCGTAAGTGGTGGCCCTTTTGAGCCATTACCAGTATCAAGAGCTGATACTGGAGATCTGTGGAGGTGCAACTGCACCCTGCGTGACGGGAGATGTCTCCCGAGTTGGATGTACAGAGGAGATTGATTGATGAAGATTAAGCCGCCAAAGAGGTGGCACGGGCATGAATAGCCCGTAAACAGAGGAGGAGGCACGGCGAGTGGTTATATGGGGGTTTAATTTGGTCATTTGTGAAGCTGTCTTGGGAAGGGATTCTGGTCTTGTGAGTGTTGGGTCACTTGTTGTTATAGATTCAGCTACTCGGAACAAGTTCCAAGTAGCACGGGCTATGGTGAGCCCGTAACTTACCTGGCACAGGAGCGGGGCAAGAAGCACGGGCTATGGTTAGCCTCATGGACGGGAGATGTCTCCCATGTATGGGTCACTTGTAGGTAGGCAGAGTTCAGCTCATCTTCTACCAAAAGTCACATACTGACTTACGGAAACATTAATAAGTTAGATTAGACGTATATGGTGTCAGCCTTCCATAGTGAGCTTAAATTATTCATAAATACAGCTTCATGGTGGTGTCATATGTGGCTTAGACAGTGAGAGACGCGTATGGTGGTGGCAAGTCAGGTATGTGTGGGAAATCAGTTGTGTAATGAGTAAGTTACGGTTAATTTGAGTTGTAAGTCATTTATAGACGTGAGATGTTTCTGGAGGGATGTTAGCAGTCATTGATTATAAAGCGTCATAAGTCACTTATAAGGGATACTAATCATTTATTATTATTATTACTACTATTATTATTATTTAAGCAAAAACATAAATATATCAACTTTATTTAGCCTTAAATCAAAACAGAAAAACTTTTTATTTAAAATTATATAATAGTCGTTGTGACCACAGTACTGACCGTGGACAATATAAAACAAAATAGGCCTCGATTCAGTTACCACTAAATTGACATGCAAACATTATTTTTTCTCGTGTGTGTGTGTGTGTGTGTGTGTGTGTGTGTGTGTGTGTGTGTGTGTGTGTGTGTGTGTGTGTGTGTGTGTGTGTGTGTGTGTGTGAAACACATGAAGCCTTTTAATGTGTTTGTAATTTTTTTTATTTATTGATGTATTTAAAGCGCATATAATTGAAACATAATTAATAATGAAATCAACCTGTTGTATTTGTACAAGAATATACGAATAATACTTAAAAAGTTCAATAAACATTAGCCACGACTCGTTTTACGGGTATTAAATCTAATCTCAAAGGGAAAATATATCTATTGAGTATACGCGTTGAATTTGTATCCTAAGATTCGTCAGGATACAGAAATAATGAGCTCCCGGTACCCATGCATACACCAAGGGCAACCAATATATACACCGACATGTATATATATTGGTTGTCGGTGTATTTGCATGGAGCTGACTGCTGTTCAAAACTATGTTAGGGACTAAAGTTAGTGTTTTCTGTTGATACCCAATCAACATACCCAATCATGCTGGCTGGCCAGTAAGCTCTGGTGATGGCTTTCATTACCCCCATGAGGTTGGTAGGCTGTAAGATCAATACTAAAATCTATCCAGGAGTTTTGGTTGATATATTCACAAGGTGACTAGCGTTATACTCACGTCTGCCTCCTCTGGTCTGGTCCCCAGGCGCCGCATACCCCACCAGCAGTGACCTAAAAATACCCAGATATCAGTGACTTCTGCTGCTATAGGTGTGCTTGCTCTTGATACAGGATATCACAGTAGGTTATGAGATAAAGTGCAAAATTTCATTCACACGTTGCAAATGCTGACATATGGCTTGCAGGCTCTCAAAATTATGAACATATGATCTGTAGCATTTGCATAATTAAATGCCAATTTGAACAAAATAGGATTTGAATACGTACTGTAAAATTTTGATAATACCATGTCGAACTCTCTGTTCGTGAATTAAGTGACTAAGCGGCACTTATAACAATTTTGTGATAGGTTATAAAATATCCACGTCCCCGTAGTCACTGATAGGTATAATAGGTAATACATAGGTAATACATTTGAATTTGAATTTGAATTTGTAAACATTGAGTAGGCGACGAGACGCTTAGAACATATTCAGTACAGTATAGAAAATGGAGCCCAAGCAGGATGAACGCTAACTCAAATAATAATTCCTCTACATACTACAGTTCTAAAACATGGATTCCTTACACGAATAACAATAGTTGAAAGACTTGTGTCATATTGATCAGCTTGGGGAACACACTTGGTGGAGGTGGACCTTAACTGGCTGATTACGGCAGCAATCCCAAGTTCCCACAATGACTTGGAAGCATGCTAGAATGGTCCTGTGGGGTGGCGTTCCTCTCTCTCACTACTGCTCTGAAAAGATACGAGTTACGTTAGACATGCGCAGATGAATCACATAAACGTGATGAATCTATGAGAAAATGACCGTTTTTAAGTTCATCATGGTTTAGTCGGGAGTGCATGTGCCTGGAGAATTCAGGGATGCAGGTTCAATCCCATTGTATTGCCTTAATATTTTCCTTTAAGTTGGACACATTGGCGAAATATGTCTAACTCAGAGACATAGCTTCATACCGATATAGGTTACCTAGTAGTTGATGGGGTCAGTGATTACCAGTTGAAGCAGCTACTGGGGTCACTGTTTACCCGTTGAAGCCGTTAATGGGGTCACTGGTTACCCGTTGAAGCAGTTAATGGGGTAACTGGTTACCTGTTGACGCAGCTGCTAGAGAAACCGATTACCCGTACATGCAGTTGCTTGGGGAACCGAGTAAATGTGGAAGCAGCTTCTAGAGAAATAAGATAATGATAGAAGAATCTACTGGTGATCCGGTTATCTTCTTGAGATTATCTTGAGATGATTTTGGGTTCTTAGCGTCCAAGCGGGCCGGTCCTCGACCAGGCCTCCTTTTTGTTCGGTAGGAGGGAGGCCTCCTACCTCCTACAGGTAGAAGGCAGCTATTTGAAGAACCGGTTACAGGTGGAAGCAGTTACTGCTTGTGTTGCTGCAAAATGTTTTTAAAGCCGTTTTTTTTCCAATACAAAATATTGACGTTTTTCTCGTATTTTTGGTCTTATATTTACAACTATTATTATTATTATTATCATACGATGGCTTTTGTTAAATATTATTGTTGTTCACCCTAAAGAACAAACAAATGTTGTGGGGGGTTTTATGGGACATGTATGTCATATTATTTACGGGTTTGTGACGAGGCTATTGAATAATTCCCTAAACATTAGCCTAGCAAATGTCTTTGTTGTCTGTGAGACGAGGATAATTGAGCTCTTTGTCTATTCTACTGCGGTTTCCTACACATTTTTGACCAGATTCTTGCATTTTTATAACATGACCATGTATACATGACCGCGGGGAACCGGTCCATGTATATGAGACAGGTTTGAGAGGCTTCGGTCACTGCCTGGTTGTGTCTCCTGTATATATTATACCATAAGAATCGCCATTTATTGACTTGCATTTTACCCGAATTTATTTAAGGACCACAATCCCTCTCGATATATATATATACTGGCCACGATGCGAGACAGAAAACCGTCGGCTTGTCAAACTTGCCGTCCTTAACCGAGTCAGATGAGTTCTGGGGTGATTTTTGTCGCCCGGTGTTGAATTTTCTCCAGAGCAGATGTCTCTCAGAAGATGATGTATTCATGTATACTGCATATACTTTTTTTTATTATTATTGAATAATATACTGCATTTACTGGAAGTCCTTGGCAGGTTACAGTTTCCAAAAATGTGAGCAGGTTTGCCAGGCAGGATTTATTTTTTGCAAAACCATATTGTGGTGATTGTACTAGATTGTTAACAGTGAAATGATGAATGATTCTCTGCTTTAGGATTCTCCCCATCAGTTTGCAGATATGTGGTTAGGCTGATTGGATAGTAGCTTTCTGTTAACCTCTTTCTGCCTTTTTTTTAAATAGGGATAACATTTGCATATTTTCAGTCTAGGGGAACTAACCAGTCAGTGGTAGAGTATGCGACTGGCAAATGCCGGGGTCATAGATTCCCGTCCACCTCATAGCCCTAGTTGAGTTTCTCATTATTATTATTATTATTATTATTATTATTATTATCCATTGGTATTATTAGTGTTTTATCCGTCGCGTTTTTCTCTCGCTTGGTCGTCTCTGAGCGAAACATACACTGTGTTAATATGGTGAATTTCGCTGCGTTAGTTTGTGTATCAGAAGCTAATTAACACAGCTCGATAAATGGTTCAACGTGACAGTATTATCTATCATGCAACTGATGCTATACACGCCCAAAGAGGCGACGTCAACAAAGCCACAAAGTCAACAAAGAGAAGGATTTTTGTTTTTTATTAACACCACTTAGGTACATCTGCATTTATGCAGCTATCCTAGACTATATGAAGGGGAGTACAGAGTGTGTCCAAAAACTAGCTACGTGATGCTAAAAATCCCCATCACACAGGATGGCTAGTCATAACTAGAGGAAAGATTGTAAGATATTTATATTCCTCACTCAGAATCACTCGGGAATGCCATCCATGCAGCCTAGTAAGTGTATTCTGATTAGTAAATGTTTTGTTTACCTTTCTCCTTCCAGCTTCGCCAAAAGCCATTGTTTGTGTATTGGGGCGGCCATGATATATATGCAAGTCACTCGATCAGAGAGGTTTAAGAACATTTGGATGTGATCAGTAACTGGCTAGGTGATTGAAGAGGAACTCGCTCCTGATTGGAGAGACCTCGACTAGCTACACAGACCGGTTGATTGATAGTTGAGAGGCGGGACCTAAGAGCCGAGACTCAACCCTCCCCGCAAGCACAACTGAGTACAGAGGTCCTCTCCCCAACATGATGTATACTATATCTTGTGCTACTAACTCGAATATAGCCATTAATTTTAAGTACTTGTTTGAAAGTGAATGTGGTTTATGAACTCCCTAATTATTGCAAATAATTAATGTACACCTCAAGCACTTTGTTAACTTGATAACAGATAAAATAACAATTCTTTGCGTAATTTGTGAGGTTATATTATATCATTATATTACCCAGGCGAAACAGAACCGGTTGGGCATCAATAATGCCTCTGTTCACCCAGCAGTAAATAGGTACCCGGGAATTAGTCAACTGCTGTGGGGTTATATCCTGGGGAAGATCAGTAGGTGGACCGTGGGAAGACCTCGATACTAGCCGAAAGTATATATATATATATATATATATATATATATATATATATATATATATATATATATATATATATATATATATATATATATACATATATGTATATATATATATATGTGTGCGAACAAGCCTGAATGGTCCCCAGGCATATATGCAACTGAAAACTCACACCCCAGAAATTACTCGAACCCATACTGCCAGGAGCACTCTGCAGCTGGTGTACAGGACCCCTTAACCACTCGACCATCACGACCGGACGAAAGATGATGGTAGCCGAGGCTAATTTTGTCCGGTCGTGATGGTCGAGTGGTTAAGGGGTCCTGTACACCAGTTGCAGAGTACTCCTGGCAGTATGGGTTCGAGTCATTTCTGGGGTGTGATATATATATATGTGTGTGTGTGAGTGTATATATACTGTCCCCACCAAAACAAAGTAGACACTACCTAAGCATGATTGCACTTCCTCACTCCTCATTGTCTCCCTTGGAGGTCTTCGCCTGGTGGAGTAATAGTCGCCGGAGGAGGTGTTGGTGGCATGAAGGAGGTGCCTAGGAACTGGTTTAAAGACGGGTGTGGTGGTGGTGGACGGGTCACTACTCAACCACTGTACACACATGCCTGGCCGTCGAGGCTTGGGTCAGGAGGACTGGGTGTATGTGTTTTCTCACATATATGGGTCGAGCTTCTTGTCTTAAGCTCCGCCTTTCGACCATCAGTTGGACAAATCAGCAGTGGAGGCAGACTCCATGCACAGTTTCAAATGTAGATATGATAGAGCTCAGGAACCTGTACACCAGTAGATTGACTGTTGAGAGGCGGGACCTAAGAGCCGAAATTCAACCCACCGCAAGCATAACTAGGTGAGTACAATAACTCACTCCTATTTATTATATTGCTTACATTTTAAATTGTATATCAAATTGGTCTTTAAGACGCCTTCGTCTATTCTGTTCCACTTTTAAGATTTGTAAACTGAAAAACTTATTCAGATGTCACTGACTCATTTGTACCTCAAGTTTCCAATTGTGTCCTCTCATTATATTATTCAGTACTGTTACCACTGGTTCTCTGTCGTTTTAAGCAATTTCTCTTGGAACCTTGCACGCCGTTATCATGTCTACACTATTCCTTCTTACCTCCAGTGTGATGAGGTCCAGTGCCTTCAGTCTTTCTTCAGGGGTAGTCTTCTTGTAATTTTTCTTTTGGCCCTTTTTTCTTGTGTGTCTTTTGGTATGTGTGTATGTATGCTAACCATGTGCGTGTATGTATGCTAACCATGTGCGTGTATGTATGCTAACCATGTGCGTGTATGTATGCTAACCATGTGCGTGTATGTATGCTAACCATGTGCGTGTGTGTATGTTAACCATGTGCGTGTGTGTATGTATGTATGTATGTATGTATGTATGTATGTATGTATGTATGTATGTGCTTGAAGGGTTGAGCGTTAACTCCTGAGCCCCGCCTTACAGCTGTTGATTCTCTAGTAAAATAAATCTCGAATTTTATATTTTTTCCTATTTATTTTGACACCATATATTGTATTAACTTCTTCTATCTCTCGTCTATTGTACTTGTTCACCAATTTTTCTCTAAAAATGTATCTTTATAATATTTGTGTGACTAGTTAGCGTGCACTTCAAGTTATAATTTAATCCGCTAGTTCTATCTTACCTTGCACTGAACATGTCCTCTTTGTCCATTTCATCAATTGGTTCTGAGAATCTTTTATGCCGTTATCATGTCTCCTAGCGTATGCATCTCTTCAAGTGTGGTATGATATATATATCTCATTTAACCTTTCATCGTTTATTTCTCATAGTTCTGAAATGTTCCTTTATTTTCTCATTCACATACATTTGTATTAATTACATTTAGAAGTTATTTTCGCGAGCCATCCGATATGTCGCCAAATAAACCACGACTCAATTAGTGTTAATTGTTCTGCTAACAATATACGTGAATGAATTACTTCGTGAATTATGTGCCACAGTCATTATCCAAAAGACAAAGGGCTGTCAACAGTGGACGCGTGCTGATGGTCAGACAAAGGGAGCAGGAATCACGACTTACACAGACATGAAGGTCAACACCTTGAACGTCAACAACAGGGTTAGAGGTAGGAGCTGGGAGGGTGCGAGGCGATATAAATACAGAAGACAAGTTCGAAAGAGAGCACACCTCGATTCAGCATCGCTCCTGTGCCAGGTAAGTCCACTACGGGCTCACCATAGCCGGTGCTACTTGCCCCGCTCCTGTGCCAGGTAAGTTACGGGCTCACCATAGCCCGTGCTACTTGGAACTTGTTCCGAGTAGCTGAATCTATAACAACAACATTCGAAAGAGGGAAAAGATGTTAGGCTACAGTACCAGGGCGTGAGGGTGGAGGGCGGGTAGAAATAGCCTAAGTTACTCTATACCTTTGGGATGTATTTTCTTGTCTCACTAAACATACTTGAACTTGAACTTGAACCAGGGCGTGATGACCACCACTCTTGCCTTGGGGATGGATGTCGTAGGTAATTCAACCCGTCCTCTCGACCTACATTCCTCCCTCCACCACAACGCCTGCACCGTTCACCTGATTCAGCTACGCCCTTTCTTCAGTTCCCCGCCACTCTTCCCTTTCACCTCAGCCTTCTCTTTATCTCTTGCTTCTTTCATTCTAGCATCTCTCCTCAACCAAGTAGCCCCTGATCCATGCCAAGTAACACGCTAGAAAACTATCAATAGCCTAACCTCAGGTTTAAGATGCGACATTCAACAGCACTGAAAGTGACAGCTCAAGGTAAGCGGGCTGCCCTTTACACCGCCGTAAGGTATCATTAAGCGAAGATGGACTTAGCTGTACATTCTGTTAACGACACAGCTGAACAAATGACACGTTGTTTACAAGATGTTCTTCGGGAGACTTAGGTTACAGTTTAGGCTGGTGGATATGAACCGGGTGTTGGTATGTAGGAACCGGGTGGTGAGGCAGGTGTGTGAACCGGGTGTTGGTATGTAGGAACCGGGTGGTGAGGCAGGTGTGTGAACCGGGTGTTGGTATGTAGGAACCGGGTGGTGAGGCAGGTGTGTGAACAGTAGTGGTGTGAACCGGGTGTGGTGTAGAGGCAGGTGTAACATGGGGCAGGTGTACATGACCAGCGTGGCAAAACTAGTAAAGGAAGAATCGCTTACAACTTGCACTGTATCATTGTTTAGCCTGTCAAGTTGGCTATACTGATGTGCTGCATCGCAGCAGTCCCCTTCCATCCAGCAAATCACATTACTTTTGATTAAACATGTTCCAGCTAAGAACACACACACACACACACACACACACACACACACACACACACACACACACACACACACACACACACACTCACTCACACTCATACACGCATACACAAAACTTAGAAAAGGTTCAGAGGTATGCCACCAGGCTAGTCCGCGAGCTGAGAGGTATGAGCTACATGGAAAGATTGTTACAACTGAACCTCAATACACTGTAAGACAGAAGAGTTAGGGGAAACATGATCACTACCTATAAAATTATCAAAGGTCTCAAAGGAATTGACAGGGTAGATAAAGATAAACTGTTTAGCACGGGGTGGGACGCGGAGCAGGGGACACAGGTGGAAACTTGGTACCCAAATGAACTACAGGGACGTTAGAACGAACTTTTTCAGTGTCAGAGTAGTTAACAGATGGAATGTATTAGGCAGTGATGTGGTGGAGAATGACTCGATACACAGTATTAAATGTAGATATGATAGAGTCCAGTAGGCTCAGTAATCTGTACACCAGGTGACTGACAGTTGAGAGGCGGGACCAAAGAGCCAAAGCTCAACCCCCCCCCCCCCCCCGCAAGCAAAACTAGGTGAGTACACAATCAACATATTTCAAATGCGTGAGAATCTGACTTGAGTCTTGCCCGTGGCCTGGCTGCAGCAAGACCCCAGCCAGGGATAACAACATAGTGGGGTTGACCACACTAGAAGGTGAACGGACGACGACGTTTCGGTCCGCCCTGGACCATTCTCAAGTCGATTGTGACTGGTCCAGGATGGACCGAAACGCCGTCGTCGTCCCTTCACCTTCTAGTGTGTGGTCTGGGCAACATACTTCAGCCACGTTATTGTGACTCCTCGCCTGCAACATGGTGGGGTCGTAACTTACATCCGAGCCACACTATATTCCTCGTAGAGAGACTTCCCAGACAGCCTTCACCCCCTCCCCCTTATTTATCACATCCAAGGTCATTTGTTGCGGTTGTAATTAAACCTCAAGAAAGGTGTATACTACGAGTCGCTGAACTGGTTACGCTGAATATAAATCACATGTATTCCGTCCCTGAAACTGCTGTGTGCTCTGTCTAGACAATGTTTTTGTTATGGAATCTGATGTTTGGTAGGATTAATGCTGTTGACATATCAAAGGTCAAAGGTACGAACTTAAGCAGATTAATTGATCTGATCGTTTTCATAGTTAATAGGACAGTTAAATTGTGGTGGTTCATTAGGAAATCGGTTCCAGTAAATAATGTCTTCACGTAATGTACTATAACACTTGATGATATATTGGACTTGTACCCCTAGATTAACCATGTAATGTAATTATATAACCTGAGCTTGTAAAAGCATCTTAATCACCTTCAGTGGTTAAGTTCTTAATTGCACACTAGTTTCTCTTGTCAGCTATCTCACCCTGTCAGAGTAAAAGAGACAAATATATGTGTATGTATGTGTATATATGTATGTATGTGTGTGTATGTGTATAAAGCTGATCAGAATTACATTTCACCATTATAAATTCACATTAATGCACTCATAAATCTGTGTATCTATGTATTTATGTATGTAGCCTAGCCTAACATTTTAAAAGCACTACGATCACCTTCTGTGGTTCAATAAATCTCTGAACTGTATGTTTGACAAATCTTTCACCCTGTCCATGGAGGACAGAAGAAAATGTATATATGCTAGTTAGCATTGTAAATGTGTGGCCACGTCTGTGGTGGAAAATAATAATAAAAAAAATGTACTGTGAATGACAACTTAAGAACATGATAGCGACTGCAAGTAAGATACATCGTAGCTGTAACATGTTATTATTGTCTGACTCTCATTGTGTATATTGGCTGCAGCAACCCCAATATAGCCTATTGTGTCTGACAGTTGATGGTATAACTGTTAGCTGTAGCATGCTGGTGAAGCCTATTGTTGTCTGATATGGTATACGTTAGTAAGTCTATTGTTGTCTGATATGGTATACGTTAGTAAGTCTATTGTTGTCTGATATGGTATACGTTAGTTTCAGAGCCTATAAGGTTTCTTGCAGCTATATGAAAGAATAACTGTATTTGATCACTTTATTATATCAATGATTTGCTCGTCACATGGTGTTGAATTTTATGAATTACTTATTTCTAGTCTGCATATACATACTCACATGTAATGCCGCCTATAATGAGAGCTCTCCGCTGTTTTGGCCATATTCTATACACTAACATTTAAAGCGAGAAAAACAAGCACATTTGTTTTTAAGCATTTGCGATTACAGAACTGATGGGGACACTAAAAATACTTTAGACATCCGGCTCATATTTACAGTTTACTGGAGCCGAGTACACGAGGCAGAAGAGGTGTCAGTAGAGGAGAGAGGAGCACACACACACACACACAAGTCACCTGGGCATGAGTGAAGCACCCGCACGCTACCACACTCCAATGCTAACTAACCTCTTGTACCCGGCCCACCACACACCGCTTCTGCAACCCACTCGCCAAAACTCCGGCCGCTCTCCCTCCTACTTGTTCAATAAATCCCTGAACAATATGTTTGACAAATCTCTCACCCTGTCCATGGAGGACAGAAGAAAATGTGTATATGCTGGTTAGCATTGTAAATGTGTGGCCACGTCTGTGGTAGAAAATAATAAAAATAATAATAAAACACTCATCTCGCGTTAGTGGAATATAGATGTAAAGGAAACTGCACAAGACTTATTGCTCGATGCGAGGAGGTCTTCATTATTCTGCGTCTACCGTGTTATTCAGCAGTTTGTTCCATACATTATAACTCTATTTCCAAACCGGTGTTTGGAAATAGAGTTTTCCGGAGCCAATCAATTGTAATTCGGACAAAAATCTAATCTAACTCTGTGCATGTTTGCTGCATTACTGAATGTACAGTATTTGGAAATCGCTCAACCACATGCGTAAAAATATAAAATATTAAATAAAAAAGATAAAATCCTTACCCAACCTCATATAGGCGAATATATTTATTGAAGTACAGAGTTGAATGTGCAGTAATAGTTCCCAGTAGCTGAATCTTTAACAACAACGCGATTTACGGACTATTCATGCCCGTGCCTTCTCTTGGTTGGCTTAATCTTCATCAATCAATCATCAACCAGTTCTCGCGAAGTTAATCATTTGAAGTGTTATTGCCCAACGTAGGCAACCCATCTAACCCTTCGAGGCCGATACTAATTATTCCAAGGTAGCGTCCATAGTACGGTGTATTTAATATCAGTAAACCACCTGAATTTTGACAATAGTCCACTTGGTCTACGTTACGGTGTACAAAGTGTGAGGACAGTTGTTTACCCTTAGGCTAGAGGTTAATTTCCTTCCAGTCACCCCAGCTAAGGCTCGAGTGTGTATAGGAGTTTCTTGTATGAAACTGTCAAATGTTGTGTGTGTGCACTCACTGAGTTGAGCTTGCATTGGTTGCATCGGACGTCAGCTCTTGGGCCTGGGTTTTCAGTTGTCTGTCAATTCTGTGGCTCCTATTCCTATTGTTGTTAAGATAGCTGCGCTTGATGTACAGTGTTCGCCTCGTATACCCATTCGTATAGACCATTCCCCTCCCCCCCCCCGTTACAGGCAAGAGTCGTGGTGTCCAAGAGGTGTGTCGGCCAAGAGGTGTGGCAGACACGAGACTTGTTTTACATTTAGCTACTCAGAACGAAATGTCCATGTAACACGGGCTATGGTGAGCCCGTAATACAGGACACGAGGCTTGTCGGCCAAGAGTTGTGGCGTCCAAGCTTCGTGGCGTCCAAGAGCGTGTATTTGCATATCCTGTCGTAGGTATCAGCTCAGCAGGAGTCAGTGGCCACTGTCAGCACCCGGCCTGTCCACCACTCCTACCATCAGCTTTAATAAGGTAACAGTTAACAAACTACGTCGTGCAGGTACAAAGTAGGCTTGTTTGCATAATATGTTTGTATATAATTTACAGGAATCAAACCTGCCTTAATTAAATCTTTAACTACCCACCAATGAGGTCTTGACTTTGGTGAACAGCTCAAGTTATAAAAGGTCTTGTTCAATTTGGTTCAAAGGTCTGTTCAAAGGTCTTGTGTTTGTTGTATCTCTAGAATACAATAATAGTCTTTCCTCCTTACCTACAGAAAAATAAATACATTGTACTGCTACATTAAATTCATTTCTACACCGAGAGTTGTACCCACATTTTTTGGTGTATATAAGAACAAAAGAATGAAAAGACTGCAGAAGCTTATTGACCCAATCGTTGTTGTTGTTATAGATTCAGCTACTCGGAACAAGTTCCAAGTAGCACGGGCTATGGTGAGCCCGTAGCTTACCTGGCACAGGAGCGGGGCAAGTAGCACAGGCTATAGTGAGCCAGTAGTGGACTTACCTGGCACAGGAGCGGTACTGTGTTGACCCAATCGAGGCCGCTATACTATTTATACCCCACCCAAATTCATTCATGTATATGTCTAGCCTACGTTTGAAACACTCCAGTAGACAAGTCACAATCGACTTGAGAATGGTCCAGGACGGACCGAAACGTCGTCGTCCCTTCACTTTCTAGTGTGAGGTTTGGTCAAACACTCCAGTAATCCTACGTCTTATATTACCTGGTAATTTTATGTAGAGTTTACTTGGTCTTAAACTTTGTTCAGGACTAAAGTATGTTTACTGTAAGTAAGCTCTTGTATGACCTTAATAATCCTGTTAAGATTGATAGGCCATAAACTTACACCAAAGTAAAACACGCTGTATATAGTAACAAACACCATCTAGGCTATACCAATATGTCCACAATTTAAATTGATTCAAGGTTAAAAGCAACGGTTTGCAACAAATCAAATGGTCATTGATCTTACATCAATTTAGACTAGAAACTTTGAAGCTGTCGATCAGGCAAGAAACATTCTAATGAAAATCAAAACCTATCTGATATCTGAGAAGGGAATTACTCAAACTCTTTGAATGCAGTATTTTAGCTCCTCTTGCCCAATCAGAAACTCTTACAGCTCATAAACTAAGGTATTGAGGAGTGTCTTTATGAGCAACAGCATTGCTAGTTTAACAAGTCAGCATACCTACCGAGCTCTGTCTCCCTGGCAAGTCGATAACCTCTCGAGGGATGACTAGGTTGCTTGCCAGGCAACCTGTTCTCGCTATGTATGCTTTTGTGACTGATATTTATATTGCTGCTCTACTGCTCTTTGTTGCTCTCTCTACTGTTGCTACCTCTCTCGTTTCTTTTACTAAGTACATAATTCTCTTGCAAGTGCTGTTGAAACTCCTGAATTACCTTTGACGACAGGCGCGTGGCATTGAATTTGGCTTCACCTGCTCACCTTGACTTCTGTTTTTATTTTGTTTTCTGCTGCCCCTCCCAAGGAACACGAACTACAAACAGTTCAACCTGCTCACTCCTACACGCTAGGCTGCTGCTTGTGCTGCCGCTCGGAACTCAGCCCGTCCTCCTAAGGCTTCATGAACTCAACAACTCTACCTTGGGCGTCTTCTCTCATGTGGTTGTTGACGCGTATCTGACCCTGGCTCCAGACGCTCGTGTATCTCTCAAGGATGCTTCGTGTGTCACCTTTTGTGATATATCCGAACACAGTCGAATTGGAAAGAAAATAAAATATTTACAGAGAAGCCTAACACAAGGAATAAACTTGTCATGTAATTTTGTTCCGTGTTTTAGGCTTCTCAAAGACCCATAAATTCACTCTCGTGGCTGCCACACCCAAGCACTGGAAATAGATGGTGAAGAGGGAGCAGAGAGATCCGTCTGGGGGGGGGGGGACTTGAGAGAAGGAATGGAAAGAGAGAGAGATGATAAAGAGGAAGAGGCAAGGACAGAAGGGAGGAGCCAGAAGAGGGGAAGTACCGGCACCACACCTTCCCAGAATACAAAACTGGTTTTTATAATTGTTTACGCTTGTTTTTTCCTACACAAGCATGCTCGTTTACGCGCGCGCGCACACACACACACACACACACACACACACACACACACACACACACACACACACACACACACACACACACACACACACACACACACACACACACACACACACACACACACACACATAGGCGATTTGGTGAATACATTGCCTCGTTTGCTAACTTAACATATTACACTAAGTAAAATTAAATGCTAACGAATAGCTAACTAACAATTAACGTTAAATGTCATAAGTAAATTAATCAAACAGCTTATACAATTGGGTAAGTTGTTAACTTAAAGACGAATGAAATCATAACTTAACGTACTGTATCAAATTATCTAACCGGCAACTTTTTTAAGTCGTTAAATAATTCAATCGCCTTCAAGTCAGCAAGGTCGTTAACCTTTAAGTTTTCCATTTATGAAAGGACATGTTTTCCGATAACACAAATTTGGTAGAGGGATTTATTGCCACACGTGTGAATCATTACTGGACTAGTGTAGGGAATAGATCTGTACCGTAACTCACCAGTACCTCAATAGATGAGCACCGGTACTAGTTTAATACTAATGAACAAATCCACAAGGGCCGTGACGAGGATTCGAACCTGCGTGCGAGAGCATCCCAGACGCTGCCTTAATCGACTGAGCTACGACATGGTCAAAACCCTTGTGGATTTGTTCATTTGATGCATCACGCAATTGTGATTTCTGTATGTAATGTAGTGTAGTTTAGTACTACGCTGGTTATGAACGGATATGTACTACAACGGACTGAAAAAAAATGACTATCTGGATGAATGCAACGGTTAGTATTGTGTTAAATTCATATTAGACTGATTCTCTTTTGTTTTCATCTATCTTTTTTTTAAATATTTGGAGTTTATACAGATCGTTGTGGCTTTTCGATTAATAAACAAACCTAGAATGGAATTGCTTTCTTCCTCCGGCCAAACTGTAATAGACCCTAACGGAAATTCATTTGAATGGCTTTGTGAGACAAAATGACGTACCACAAAGGTCAGGTTTGGGGGTGTATTCTTGATTTACATAAACGACATTGATGACTGGTTATGCTATAGTATTCAGTATCAAAAGTTGATAATGGCGCTAAATTAGGGCGCAAATTCACAACACAGTGAGCGTAGGAGATTGCAAGGGAACTTAGATAGCTTACTTGATCAGTATGAAATAAAAGCTCTTTGAATATAAAAAAGAATAAAGGTACCTAGAAGCAACATTGGGTAATAATTGTAAGTTAAAAAAAGTTTTACTAGGCAGTAAAAGAAAAAAACAGCAAAACTTTAGGCTTTATTGTTAGATCATTCGAGTTTCAAGCAACGCCTCTCCACTCTGTACGACCCATTGGTGCGTTATTCTACAATATTGCGTACAGTTTTGGACGTCATATTTAAGAAGGGATGTTGATAATTTGAAGGGTTTTCAGTGACGATCAGTACAGGTGAGGATCAGTACCACAGTGGATTAG